AATGGCTAAAAAGTCAAAAAACCGATTTTCTACAGCATAGATTCCGGTTTTCTTGCCGTTTCTTAGCTCTAACTTTGTCAAAACAAGCCACATGGCTAAAACAATGACTGTTTTATACAGCTAACTACCGACTCTTAACACCCCTGTACTTGCTTTTATCATTATTGTTCTTATTTTTTGGTGCGAGCTCTGTTTTAAGGGCGGAAAACTGATGAAACCGATTTTTAACAGAAATTTGCAATATTATTTTCGGGTTTTTAGCTCTAGCTCGGGCAAAACAAGTCGCACAGCCAAAAGAACGACTGTTTTGTGCTGCTAACGACCAATACTAACCACCCCTATTACTCGATTTTCGATTTTGGGAAAATCAATTTTGGCCCAAATTTCCCATTTTTGATAAGGGGTACCATCATCAATATTTTCAAAAATGGGCCAAAATTGAAGTTTCCAAGATTTGAATGCAAACCAATTGGGAATCATAGCAATCAAGTTACGACCCCTACAAGGTATTACATTCTTCATTTGGACCATTTTTGGCTCTGCTATGCCCAAAAAACTGATTTTTTGTGCCCAAAAGTATGTTACGTCTTTTAGCAGCAGAGATTCCGGTTTTGTTGCCGTTTCTTAGCTCTGACTTTGTCAAAACAAGTCGCACATCCGAAAGAACGACTGTTTTATGCAGCTAACATTCAAAACTGTAAACCCCTATACCTTCTTTTACCAGTAGTGTTCTGATTTCGTTGGGGCGAGTGCTGATTTAATGGCTAAAAAGTCAAAAAACCGATTTTCTACAGCATAGATTCCGGTTTTCTTGCAGTTTCTTAGCTCTAACTTTGTCAAAACAAGCCGCATGGCTAAAACAATGACTGTTTTATGCAGCTAGCAACCAAAACTGTAAACCCCTATACCTACTTTTACCAGTAGTGTTCTGATTTCGTTGGGGCGAGTGCTGATTTAATGGCTAAAAAGTCAAAAAAACCGATTTTCTACAGCATAGATTCCGGTTTTCTTGCCGTTTTTTAGCTCTAACTTTGTCAACACAAGCCGCATGGCTAAAACAATGACTGTTTTATACAGCTAACTACCGACTCTTAACACCCCTGTACTTGCTTTTATCATTATTGTTCTTATTTTTTGGTGCGAGCTCTGTTTTAAGGGCGGAAAACTGATGAAACCGATTTTTAACAGAAATTTGCAATATTATTTTCGGGTTTTTAGCTCTAGCTCGGGCAAAACAAGTCGCACAGACAAAAGAACGACTGTTTTGTGCTGCTAACGACCAATACTAACCACCCCTATCACTCGATTTTCGATTTTGGGAAAATCAATTTTGGCCCAAATTTCGCATTTTTGATAAGGGGTACCATCATCAAAATTTTCAAAAATGGGCCAAAAATGAAGTTTGCCAGATTTTAATGCAAACCAATTGGGAATCATACCAATCAAGTTACGAGCCCTACAAGGTATTACATTCCTAATTTGGACCATTTTTGGCTCTGCTATGCCCAAAAAACTGATTTTTTTTGTGCCCAAAAGTATGTTACGTCTTTTAGCAGCAGAGATGCCGGGTTTCTTGCCGTTTCTTAACTCTAACTTTGTCAAAACAAGCCGCATGGCTAAAACAATGACTTTTTTGTACAGCTAACTACCGACTCTTAACACCCCTATACTTGCTTTTATCATTATTGTTCTTATTTTTTGGTGCGAGCTCTGTTTTAAGGGCGAAAAACTGATGAAACCGATTTTTAACAGAAATTTGCAATTATTATTATTATTATTTTCGGGTTTTTAGCTCTAGCTCGGTCAAAACAAGTCGCACAGCTGAAAGAACGACTATTTTATGCATCTAACAACCAAAACTGTAAACACCTGTACCTACTTTTAACAGCATTGTTCTGATTTCGTTGGGGTGAGTGCTGATTTAATGGCTAGAAAATCAAAAACCTATTTCTGACAGAAATTTGCAATATTCTTTCGGTTTTTAGCTCTAGCTCGGTCAAAACAAGGCGCAGACCCAAAACAACGACTGTTTTGTGCTGCTAACGACCTACACTTACCTATCCGTTTTTCGATTGTGGGAAAATCAGTTTTCGGGCTCAAAGAGGCTCATAATGAAATTCAATATTTTGATCATTATTGGCTTAGTTATGGGCATAAAATTGAACGACATTAACAAAATTTCGCATATTGAAAATCAGATATAAAATAACTTGTGGAAATCATTTAGATTTTTAACTCTTTCAAATATTTTTGGCATAATAATAGGATGTTTATAATATTGTGTAAATCCCTTAAACAGTATGCAAACCAAAATACCCGAAAAATTTTAAATTATTCTAAATTGTCTGGCCGTTTTCTAGGTCTTCCGTTTTAATACTAAAAAATGTGTGAGAGAATGTTTATTTAAAGGCACACAAAAATAGGGGAAAGAAAATGAAAACCTAGCATTGTCGTGTGGCATGCAACTGAGTTAAAGGGGTATGGAAATGAAAGGCGGAATGTGGTAAGAGGTTGTTTTGACGTGATGTGGAATCTTTACTGCGCCCGTTTTCGAATAAATGAAGAATATAATGTAATGTTGTATGTAAGTTCTTGAACCAGTTGTGGCGCCCCCATATAAGAATATGGCAAGCTAAAATAGATACAAAAGATAACAGTGTGTATTTTATGGGAAGATAGTTCTGCTGATTATTGCCCCACAATGCGGCAAGCACGACTGTCACTGGCTCTTGCAGTTTCCAATGGGAACAAAGGGAAATTTATATCTTTAAAATTTAATAATAAAAATAAAATTTGTCATCATGCATTCATTTGGTTTGGAATAAATTATCCTGCATACTCGTCTGTGAGCTTTTCTTGAGAATAAAGATAGTACTCACTGGAGGCCTGTCCTTAATGTGGCCAGTTTTGGTGATCATCTAGTAACGCGTTTGCTTTGCATTTGGCCCTCGTTCTTGCCTTAGTCACTCACTCAGTCTCTTTACGTTTTTGGTGTTCATATATCTCTCTTGCGCTAATATTGCAATGCCCTAGCCTAGGTCCATGGGGTCTTATAAGGAAGTTTATTTTTAGCAGAAGATGTATAAGTTTCTTTGGAATTTATATCAGCATTTAGTATTTTTTAAATAAATCTATTTTCTGAAATTCGATATATTTTTTTTTATATACCTGGTATTACGTATTGCAGATATTAAGATATATAGATAATTAAAATAGATAAATATATTTATAATGTGCATTTACTGGTACCTTAAACCCCTATGCCTATGCCCCTGGGCTGACATTTTTACGGCCCAACCGATAAAGCTATTTTAGTGGCACTTCTAAACGATTGCGACACTTACGCTCTCATTTGCCCAGTTGAGAAGCATCTCCCTTTCCAAGTCAGCGAACTCACCGTAGGATCCTGGCATCGTGCGCACTTACAAATGAAGTGCTTGGTTATCCCGAGGAATATCTTCCTGGCTAGGGTGGACCACAGCAACTTGGCATACGACATTGTGATCTCGGCTCCAACCGGAATTCGTTCGGTGGCGCACACCACAATAGTCTCCCCATTCTCAAAATGGTGCGCTGCATTTGGGGTGCACTGGTGATTCAAGAGTCCCGCCAAAGGGAACAAAGCTCTCACCAAAACCTCGTGACCATCTACACTGCTCCGACTTTCAAAGGCATTGGTATTAAAGGCGCAGATGGTGCGGTAGAAGTAGTCTAACATGTCCTGTTCCCTTGGAAAGTGTTCGAAACAGTCGGCAGCTCGTTGCACCTCCTGCATATAGTACCGATCCATATTAGCCTGCATGGCATACAGCAACTTCCTACCAGCTTCGTCCAGGAAGAAGCAACGCACCACACTGAGAATTCTTAAAGCGCGCGGCTCTATTCTCTGACTCTCTAAGGGTTTCCATTTACGAAAAAGCTTACACTCCAGCTCATGGCGCGATGAATCCCGGCATTCCGAACAAACTGGTAAGCCACATACCGCCGAACAAAGTGCTTCCGAATCCGTAGATCCCGGAATCAAACGGTAGCAAAGGGTGCAAGTCCGCAGATTTGTGGACCGATGAGCCGTTGGACCCACCAGCAACGTATGTTCCCGAAACAGCTCTTCACCAGGTGCTATTTCTCTAGTGGCAAATATACCCCTGCCGGAAATGGGAGAGTCTGCCACCCGCCAGGAGGGTTCCTTGGGTCGCAAATCACCCAAATGAATGTCTATCAGCTCGGCTAACTCCTGTGTGGAGGCACTGATGGTCATCTGACTGGAAGATCTCGGTTCTTCTTCCGCAACAGATGAACTGGTGGACATATCGACTTTTTTAAAAGCCACTTCCTCTCGATTCCGCCGATTACCGAAACGCTACTGATCGCTGCTACAACGGAAACTCTCTGATTGTGCGAGTTTTCTCGATTTTCTCGGAGTGACAGCTAATTATAGTCTGTTGTGGATCTCGGATTTCCCGACTGTTCGCTGGACAGGCACAGCTGGCGGATATGCGGGTATCGAGGCATAAACACTAGCCATTTATTGGCCATTGTACTTAACCCACTAACGGTCATGGCTCAAAATAGATTAAAATAAGTTCATAATCAAAATCCAAAATGTATTATATAAAGAAAAAGTTCTTAAGCAAAACAATCATTTTCATTTAGGTTTTAATTGGTGAGTATACCTAATTTTAATTGAAGAATTCATAGCAGCTCAAATAAGCAATAATTTACGTATACTTAATACGTATTAGCATTGTACGCCGAAAAGCACGCAACATTTTTAAGCTCACTTAATGTATTTTTTTTATTAAAATATATTCATTAAGTGTAAAAAAAATTATATTTGTTTTTTTTCGATAACTTACTGTTACTTTTTTAGCAACTTAGGGTTATAGATCCTAGAAAAATTGTAGCATGCTTTTAGGTACTGTACCAAAAAAGTCCCACATGTGCACAAAAGTAGACAGGAATACAATGAAGACCATTTACATTCAGATTAAACCCACCAATTAACAATTGAAGTTCAGTTTTATTTCAATTATATATTGAACATGACACACATCATTTTTGGGTTACATGTTTGGGCTTTTGACATCCGTCAGCAGGTGATTTCGCTGGTTTAGTGAGTTAGATTTCAAACATTAACGAGGGTCTCAATAAATGCTTCTGTTAGTACACTACAAGTACATGGGGGAGGCTTTTTAAAATTCCTTGGAGGATACACCCACTGCATATGGATATGTTCACTTATTTTATACATTGCATTCGCTTAAATCTGACTGCTGTATGTACATATTGCTTTCGTTTCTTATGATTTTCGCTTTTTTTTATTGCACGCTTAATAATACATTTTACAAATATCGAAACAAAATTAGAATAGAATCAGGCGGGGCAAAGGGGTGGGGACATGAGCACGAGTTCTTGGAGCGCATAATAAATAATTGCAGGCACTTACATAACTGAATTTTAGATGGAACATATTAGGGGATTAACATTTAAAATAGAAATCATTAAGATTAGTGTTTAGCTTTGTATGTTACACAAGACACGTGGCAGGTGGCAGGTGGCGTTTGGCCAGATGGGCGGGTCCTTGCTACAGCGCCCTAGTCCTTCTATATCGCCTAGTATTGGTACCAGGGCTGCCGGCGCACCCACTGCAGCCGATTGCTGGTCTGATCCGATCGAATCTTGATGCTGGCTCCCTCAGCGGCGCGCACAGTCTCCTTCACCTGGAAAATTCAATAAAAAGTAAGGAATTTAGCAATGAAAATAGAGCAAAGTTAGAGAGAGGGTTAGAAGAAAAAGAGCTTTCAATGTTATTTATGTTATAAGTTCCTGTATTAAATATTTTTAATAACTTACGCTCTGCATAAGGTTCTGGGCATTGCCCACCAGCATTTCTGTGGCCTCACGATCCTCGTCTGATCCCTGGGCACCTAGCATTGTGGCCTTTACAGTAGACAGGATCTTCAGCTGAGTGCCGATGGTCGGGATGCGCTCGCACACCTGAAGCAAATTGGTGCGGATACGACGATCGGTACACTGACGGGCTAGCTCCTTGGCCAAACGGGTCACGTCCTCAGATGCCTCGGCGATCTTCTTGGCGGTGGCGATTAACTCCCGCTTACTACCCCGCGAATCGGAGAGCACCAGTTCGCTGAGACGGGCCATCAGGATAGCCATTCGCTTTGCGGCCGCAATGATCTCGTTGTCCTTGGAAGACCACTGACGCACTTCCTGGTGCAAGCCTCGGGCGGCGATCTAGAAACAAAATGAGGTTGACAAACTATTTACCAAATTCACATTATTGTGAAACTCACCAGGATCGGTTGATTTGCATGTGGCATCGTGCGGAAGACTCCCTCGTCCTCATCATCCGTTTCCGGTGGTGGCGGACGTACTGGCGCCAGTCCCTCCCTGGGCAGTGGCGGACGAGGCGGCGCACGCTCAGCTGGAAAACAATTAAACGTTAGCAATAGTCAATTAAATTAATTATTATTTTTAACAAAAATTTGAATATTTTATGGAATGGATGGATGGATACTAACCATTTTGGTTAGACAGATGCAAAGCGCTCAGTTCCGGAATGGGTGGCGGCAGTGAAGTTGGCAACGGTGGTGGCTGCGGTGGCGCAATGGCATCCCGTACCTCACGCACATCGCCCAAGAGCCGTTGGAAGGAGTTCTTCCAGGCCGCCGCTGCAGCCGGGTCGGCAATGTTGGTGGCCACCAGCTTGGCATCTCCCACCATTGCAGGCAATGAACGCTCCAGCCGGTTGGCGGCGGCATTTAAACGCTCCGTGAACACAGGATCCTCCGAGTTGTCAGCCTCCTGTTTCGCCACCAACAAGACTCGATTGATCAGGCGGGCAATATTCGAGGTATTGTCCACCATCTTCTGCGGCTGGCGGGCATGGATGGCATCTTCACAGAGCTTAGCGTACACCTGCATGTGCTCCTCGGAGGTTTTGATGAAGTCTGCCGGATCCGTCGCCTGATCGCAGAGGGTTCGCATTCGCAGCACTGTATCCGCATACTGCTGCTTTAGGTTCTGAAGATGTTCGTCCGCCGCCTTGCTGCCCGGATAGTTCATCCGAATGCGTCCGGCACTGATAAGTTGCGGCGTTAGGGAGTCTACCTGGGCGGCAGAAGAAAGAAGAATTTCGGCGATCTTCTTGTTGCCACACGCTCCACCGGCAGCCACCATTCTTGAGGTCTTCGATGCACGATCACTGAAGGCCTGCAAGTTGTTGGACTTCTGGTTAAAGTTTTGCTCCCGACCAGGTGTTCCCTCCGGCTGGAGTACGGCCTCTGTGAACTGCTTGAGCGGAGTGCTCACGTCCATAAAGTCCTGCACAATGCGATTGACCAGGGCGTTTTGAATGGCCGCTTTCAATTCGTAGAGCTTCTGGGTGAGCTGTTTAGCCGCCTGCTTGGCTGCTGGTCCGGATCCCGCTGCCTGGTGCTTGAGGCGCTCGACCTCGTCGCACAGCTGTTGGATCTCAGCCTTCTGGTGGCCGGGGCAGCCTTCGGCTACCTTTCGGCCTTCCTCCACAATCAAGTTGATGGCCCTCTCACCCAGGCCTCCATCGTTGATCTCTGGGTGCTGCAGCCACTTCACCGCCTGCTCCAATCGACCTTGAATGGTGTGGGCCGTCTGCTGGACTCCAGCCTTGTCCACACCGAGCACTGCCTGGTGGACCAGCGATTGTAGCTCACCCAGACGATCGCGGATTCCTCTAGCCAAGGACTCCGCCTGCGGACTCTGTCCCTTGCCATCCTGACGCAGCTCACACAAAGAGTTGGCCATCACTGTCACTTCATCAGCCAGCTTGCGAATGGGGTACGAGTCCTGGGGCAAGCAGCGTTCCGAAATCTCTGTGGCATTGTCGATCACCTGACGCAGAGCCTTCTCACCCACTCCGCCTCGCAAGGCATAGGGATTCGATAACCACTCGTTGGCCAGCTCCATTTTATTTGATATGGCATTGGAGAGCTTCTTCAACACCGTGAGATTATCCAATTCGCTGGTGTCTTCGTCGTATGTAGTCAACTGCAGCACACGGATGATCTCCTGCAGCTCGTCGCTCATCCTGGAGGCCAGATAGTTCCTGTTCTCAGCCGCTTCCTCGGCTCCGCGGCCCTGCTGCTCCACAATGTGGATGTATACCTTCATGCTACAGATGAGAATGGGTGCCAGGGTCTTTACTTGCTCCAAGCACCGCACCAAAATCTCACTGTGCACCTGGTGGGTCAGCTCCTTCTCGCGAGCGCCCACCTCCCTTTGCACCTTGCTCAAGCAGGGCGACAGGTCCTTAAGGAACTGCACCAGCTGCTCCATGGTGTTGATGACCTCGGCCACGGCCAAGTAGTCCAGGACCCTCTTGCACTCCTGAATGATCTTTCGCACTTCACTTTCGTCAAAGCAAAGCAGCAGCGAGGAGGTGCCCTGCAGAATGCCGCGGCTCCCTTCGATTAGCTTCTTGCGCGCCGGACCCGAATACGGGTCGGAGCGGAGCATATCGGATGCCTCCTCCAGCAGCTGCGAGGCACCCTCCACGCGGTGCAATGCTGAAGGCATATCCTGGCGAAGGATCTTGTCGTCGGAGCTGTTGATCGTCTCGCGGCCCACCTTCACCAGATTAGCCACCGCAGCCGACACCACCTGCACCGGCCGACTGAGATCCGGCATCGCATTGCCATCCTCGGCTTCCTCGTGCAGGATCACCAGGCGAGATACCTACCGCGAAAAAAAATTAGAGATTCTTTAGTATAGATTTCAAACAGAAACCGAGGTTTGTGAATTCGTTTGAGAAGGTTTGTAATGGATTATAGGACTGTATGGAGTTTCAATCTATTAAAAACTGGGAGTCCCCTTCTGAGCTGTACGGAAAATTATGGCCTGCAGATTCCCTAAATTTAAATACAAAATCTTTTAAAGTAATGTTAATAAATCGATAAATTATTTCCCCAATTTTCTCTTTACTTAATATCCGCTTTATCATTAAAGGCTCTTAAATTAAATGCCAAAAAATCGATCTTGTAACAAGAACGCGTACCCATTGGTGATCAGTGATTACACAATTCGTCCGTCTCCATTCGAGCGCGCTGATTGATCAATCAATTCCAATAGAGTTGTTTATGGAAGCAAAACTGTTAATGGTCGTGCTGTGTGATCGCTCGACTGCAAGCCACTTGGATTTATCTTCGATCCAACAGCTTCTCGCTCCATTCATTCACAGATTCGGAAAGCTAGCGGAGCCCGATCGAGATGAAACAGATGCGGACTCGGTGTGGCGTGGGCAGCGTGGGCGGCGCCATGGAACGCCACATGGTGCATGGCATTTGGACTTGACATCAGCACCTGCTCAAGGTGTTTTTGGCCATGGCTATTTATCTATTTATAGAGACTGAACAGTCGCCACCTTCGTTAATCTCCACAGCGCCCCACTAAGCCGAAACTAAATCGAAGCGCAGCTAAGTCGACGACTTAAGACTTAGCACTTTACTAGTGTAATCCAGGGGATAATGTGGTTAACCACTGAGCGGGCAATACATTTACAGGGCCTCCCTTTTGCGCTGGGCGCCGCTTTAGCAATTAGCAGCAATTGGCCTAGTTGATTAATTAATTATGCAATTAAGCAGCAAGGAGGAAGCCCTCTCCAACAACTAATTATACAGACAGAGACATATGTGCCCGACTTTATGTATCCATGCGCTGATTGATGTGCTGAATGATCGTTTTTAATTCATTTGTTTGCCAGCAGCACACACCATACAAAATCCACCCCACGGCGGATGACTAATGCTGTGGGCTTGCTTTTTGGCACAGTTTTCAGACCACAGTTTTCACTCATCCACATCCGATGGATGCCCACACCTACAGAGACAGATGTTTATAGTGTATGGTACCTACACCTACTACTCCCACACCTTAGGTCCTCACCTCCTATGGCCTATAGCCTATAGCCTATGCTTTTGGTTTTGCTTTGCTTTGCTTTTGCCATGATTTCATTTTCATGGCTCGTCCATCGTAAATGTTTTTATTTTGGTTGTTTCCTCTCGATGATGCTGATGCTGAATGTTGTTGCCGCCGTTGTTGGATTTTACTAAACGTATTTTATGCTGCTATTTTTGGATCTCGGCCAAAACCCCCTCATGCCCCCGCATCCATGTCTGATTTGTTTTCTTTGCTCCGCCTGATTTTTTCATATTCATTTGTTGCGTTATTAAATTAAAATTCCGCCTGTCCTCAGAAGCTCAGGTTGGCCGCTGGCCTCTGATCAACATTTATTCTTATTATTTCTACCTAATTTATTTTTAGACCCGTTAAGTAACGCCAAAAAACAAAGCAACAAAGACGCTGAACACCTCCTTTCCGCGCGTTTGTTTCAACTCATGATGGAAAACACACATAAATAAATGGATATATGTATGTACATTGAGGGGGCGATTGGATCGGGAAGGGCGACGAGGACTACATTTATTATATAGCATTATACTCGACACATGCCCCACAGATGCAGTTCGATGATGTCAGGTGCAAATGACAAGTAGCTGCTATCGATCAGTGAGTTTAGGGAAAGTGGAGTGGAAATGAATGTTTCTGATACCTGGTAAATCAATATTTCATCAACCATCTAAATAATCTAGGTTTAACAAGGTATGGACTTATGATTCTGTTAACCAACGTTTTATTAACAATATAGAGTTACCTTCTTGGGCGCCAATTTCATTAATCGTTATTGCTATGTGGGCGAAATATTTACTTCAAAGAACAGTTCAGCCCTCTAACCCAAATTCCCAAAACGTAACCCCCATCTCCAGACAATGCTTACCTGCTGGGCCACAGGATCTAATATGCTCTCGATGGTTTTTGTGTGGAAGACAGGCATTTTGGCTGCGCTGTTTCGTCTGCTTTCCTTTTTGTTAAGTCTCGTTTATCTCAGAGTTGCTGCTGTCCTCTCTCTTTCTTCTGGGCCAGATATCTAGTTAACTGGAAGAAAAGAAATCATTTAAATGAGCACAGTAAGAACCACAAAGTTGGGCAAACATCTCAGGGGGTTATCTTTTGGAATTCCATCTCGATTTTAAGATAAGAGTAACAACTCGGGACAAATAATCAGTGTTGGTCTAGTTTTCGTTCGGAAGTAGTTTTCTTTCAAAACCCTGGCTCATCACAGCAGCCAAATGTAATAACAAAATGCACTTCAATTAAAACTGGAATGGAAGTCAATAAATCGATATGGACACAGCTTCATGTAAATCAATTGATCAACACATATGTAACTATTAGCCTTGTGCACAATTCAAATTCCAAGCAATTTGCTAGATCTGTTATAAAAAATCTTATAAGTAAGATATCTTTGAAATGCTATAAACTCTGAGTTCTAGCCGCTAACAAAATAGATAATCTAAAAACTTAAAAAATGTTCGTACGGAATTAATCGACTCTTTTCGGAGAAGCAAGTCCCTCTTTTTCAGAAACCATGAGTTTTCTAAAGTTTGGGTTTTTCGCCTGAATAACTTATCGAGCGATTATATCGCCTGAAGTTTTCGTTTATGAGTTTTTCTGTTTTGGTTCTGTTCTGTTGATTCAGTTTGTTTGCTTGGGCTTTCGCTTTAATAACGATGACGCATCTAGTGAGGTCACTCGCCAGACTTTTGGGGGATGTCGATATTGGGTATCGGATTGGATATGGACCTGGCTCTAGTGACGCATTAACTGGCCAAGGGTGCGGACCTTAATTGGCCATGATTTACGGCAAAAGGTGGTAAGTGAGAAATAGAAAATGGGAAATGCGGGAAACGGGAAAACCAATTCCGCGCCAAAGACATTGAAAATACGACCACCTCTAGAGGTGAACAGGCTATTCAATGCGTGGGAGGGTCCATTTCTGGGTGGGGGTACAGGTCTCTCCTCTCTTTCACCCTCCAGAAACTGGGAAAACAAAGTATTTCTGGATTTTTAGAACCTGCAATGCACACACACTCACTAACAGATGAATATCTAAATATAAAAATATCGAACTTTATGGAAATACATGTGATGTACGTCCGCCACTTATGGAATTTTGCTTTCGATTGATTTTCGCCATTCTCAACGCCCGGTTCGAAATTTTGAGTTGTGGGCAGGGGTTTATTGACTTTTGCGGTTTGTGACCATTTATGGCTAACAAATTGTAGACAATTGTTGCACAAACACACACAAGTTTAATTCGAACAGGTTGATCGACGTAGCTTCTTATCAGAAGCTCTACGAGTGCTGCTGCTTAACAATTTCAATACCCATTATATTCTGATCACAACGAACTGTTCCCAGGAGGCTCCAATTGGGGAAAAGGGGAGCTGCTCCCAATTGGGATAATGATCGCATGCACACACACACTCGTCAATTTTAATGGCAACTAGAAAAACTCGAAATCAAAATCTCCAAGTAAATTAAACAAAATATCTCCGGAACGTGATCTTTCTTAAACGCTGTTCTTTCACATTACGTTACTGTTTTTTTTTTGGTCTTTGTCACTGGGAATTTATTAATCACGGCACCAATACTCTCGCAACAGCAACAATTGGTTCACACACAGACGCACCAAAACAAAAACAGAAAATAAATGGCGGATAGAAAACTACTAACTGAAACACTGCGGGCAAATATTAGTAACAAATAATTCACTTATAATTCATCGAAATGAAATACTGTCTATATGTATGCCTTTACTGAGGTATTTACTTTGTCTGGCTCAATTTTGCTGCGCCCCAACTTTCTTGCCCGACTGTTCTTTCAATACTAAAAAAAGATTTCGATTGGAGGGCGCACACACGCTCGCACACTCAGCCAGTCTGGGCACAGTGGGCCCATAAGAACAAATCTGTAAACCCATAAGAATTTCCAATTTAAACTTGTGTTTTACGTACGTATATCTTATCTTTGACATTGGAATGAAAATAATAAAGTTTTTTTTATGAAAAACCACAAACCGGAAATTGTGAAACAGACGTGTTTTTACAGAGATGATAGTAGAAATTGAAGCTTACTTATTTGCCAGACGAACCTATGACTTTTCCCACTGTGCTGGGGTGACGCTATTATCGCTGTTCTCCATTCTTTTCACTTGCTCTTCTCCTCTTCTTCATCGCTGCTTCTTCTTTTCGTTGGGGCTACAACCGATGACTGTCAACGATATCGATAGGCCTCCACATTCTTACAGTGATCGCATTTAAAATTGGACAACAAATAAATTCGCGATTCGCAATTAAATAACACCCGCAAATCTGGCAAATCGTCTGTACGATTGCATAATATAAATATGAGCGATGTGCATGCGATCTATTTGTAACGTACATATTTCTCTATTTCTCGCGTTACGTGCCATGTACTTAAGTTAAGCGGGGAGAGTGGGTGGGGAATCAAAATCCAGGGGCTGGCGGCCATGCAACATATCTATCTGGGTATGTTGCGCTTCTGCTATTTCCGTTGACTGAGTTTGGGTCTTCGGTTTGGGGCCTCTCAGCTTTTGGAGCCTCACTTTCGGGCGCAGATTTCCGTGCCTTCCGTCTGCGTGAGCTGCTGAAAAAAACAAAAACTTTAGAAGAAGTTCACACACAAACGAAACAAAACGGAAAAACGGAAAAACAAAGACTGTACAATGGGAACGAAGCTCCCATGCCCTGCAAATCGGGAAATCTTGGTATCCCATTTATTTAATTAATTGGACACTGGAAATATTTATTTGTTAATTGTATTGCCAATGTTCTTTGCTAAAAAAGCCCGAAAAAACTTATGTATATGAATAAGTTTTGTATTATATGTAAAGGCATTGCCAAAGCCAAGAATACGAAAACATTTTTTTTTTAAATGTAAAATAAGCGATTTAAAATGTAAATATACTATACCATATATTTACCTATAGTAAGAAAAGTTATTTCTCGCCATGTATACTCCACAAATTAGGGCTAATTTATGTTTGGCTATAGAGTGTAAGCCCGCACAGTAGAGTCCTCACCTGGTTAAAACCCACCCACAAGCCATGACACGATGATCGCTGCCATCCGAAATAAATTTGCCGAATGAAAATTGCAGGTTTTCCACTGAGCAGCCAGCTTGTTGTTTGCGGCGCGTGCGCAGCGGCTCCATCATATGTTGCTGTTCCAAAGCTTTTTGAAAACCCATGGCTCTGCCCATATCTTCGATGGACTGCGTCACGGAAGCGCCACCAACCGGTGCCGAGTATTGGTATTCCACCGCATTCCGTGGGGCATGTATAAATAAAATGGTCGCAGTGGGGCAGCAATCAAAGCAGCCGCATCGTCGGAGCCTTCAACACCTAAACACCTGGATCTCTAACCAAACGATATGGATAACCGCAGTTTGGTGAGTGGCAACCTGGGGTAACAAATGATTAAACGAGGATTACACCCAAAATCTGTTCTTATTTTTTGCAGCTGCTGAGGCTTTCGATTGTGGTGGCACTGGTTCTGCTGCTCATCTGCGTACCGGAAACGGATGCGGGGTATGAATCACTAAGGGATTAAGTAAAAATTTGATTGATGAGGAATTTATCTGATTAACATCAGAACAGTCGTAACAATTGAATTTTTAAAGGATAATCTTTAAAATGTATTCAATTTTATATGACAACATTCCTATACTCTTTCAGAGGTCACCAGAAGAAGAAAAAAATCGTTATCCACGTGCCAATTCACAAGAAAATAGAGAAGCACATACACACGGTGGTGAAACATGTACACCACCACCACAAGCCACTCGTTCTGAAGGAGGAGAAAAAAGTAATCCACGAGGACCATCGGCCCATCCAGATCCACCAGACTAAGGAGCATATACACCACCACGAAAAGCACGATCATCACGACCACCACGATCACCATGATCACCACGAGCACCACCACCCACTCCAGACGCCGGTGGCACCTCCTGTTCTCCCAGAACTCGAAGAGGAGGAGGAGCACATTCACCACCACCATAACTACGAGCACAGGGGTGGATTGAGGGACGACTTTATCGGCGGCGATGGAAGCAGCAGCGAGGAGCGCTGACTGTGTAGCGCCCAAAATAGGGCGCAGACTGACCAGATCGTGGACGATCGCCCGGATTATCCCGACTCTTTGTGATTCCCTAGATAGATGTCCTTTTTGTTTGTTTTTTTTTTTAGGCTAAAATGTAGATTAAGTGTGAATGAAAATAAATTTAAGTTGGAGTAAGGCGAACTTAATTTCAAAAATATTTGGTTATCAGCTATGCCATTATATAATCATGTAAGATCTAAAAAATGTTTAGAAAAGGGACTTGGTTTTATTTGTTGTTAAAAGACAAATGTTAAACAATAAATATATAGTATTCAAGAATATATAACAGTATTATTTAATATTTATAATGCTTATTATGGTTATTTGTTCCATGAAGCAGATAAAATTATATGATGGTGTCCTAAATACAGGTTTTTCCAAATAATGAATTAAAAATGTATTAAGAAATATAATTTTTTGAATTAAAAATTCAATTTCATAGCACTCAATTCTTTAGAAGGAGAAAATTTCGACCTGCACATGTAATCCCTTAGTATAGATTTTTTGGCGCGTACATTTTTGAACATGTCTATAGTTCGACAGTTCTGATTGAACCGATAGCTTTGCACCGAACCCAAACCTATCCATTCGATGTCAGTAAATGTTTGCCTTAAGCCTATCGGAAAAACAGCTGTTCGCCTGCGGATGGGACACAAGCGATAGTTATGTTATCAATTCTTGATATCGGAGGAAAGTAATAAAAAAAATACTATACTATACTGGAATGGAATATAAAAAATAATTAAATAAGTAATGTAATTGCTCTTTTGTTTTGTACAAAAACATGCGTTGGTAAGCATCTTCGTTGTTGTGTTCAGATAGATTTGGTTTTGCTCATTAAAGAGGATGATTTAAACGGATGATCTAAACAAAAGAAAAAATTACAATTTCTTCAGGATTGCGAGCGATATTCGATTTATCCGTTTGCAGCAGCATTGAGACCCCCGGAAAACCAACTACGGCGAAACGCCAACCTGGAATTACAGTGTTTCCAATAGAGCCGCAGCATTGTCTCCCGCCCCACAGCTTTCCCCCAGAAAAAACAGCAACTTGGCCTCCGCCTCCACCTCCGCCCGTTGCCACCGTTCCTCAAGGCCCCGCCCGCCGGCCACGGACCGCTTGAAGCTTGCCACGCTTAATCAGCAAATAAACAAACGGAAACGGAAGAGTGTCGAAGGGCAACTGCAGCTCCTCTTGTGAGTAATCCGGAAGTTGGAGCAGCAGAAGCGTGGATCCTCATCCATCCGTCGGCTGAGCGATGCAGTATAGGCCACCATGGGTTCACAGACCTTGGAGATTCTGCGCCAGGGCGTGTGGGCCTCGCTGACCGGCGGTTACTTCTACGATCCGCACCAAGGTGTCTTTTGCAACGTGGTGCACCTTTACCTGTGGCTTTACCTGCTCTGCTCGCCCTTTGTGGCCTACCTGGTGAGTGTCAACAAAAGAGAATTGTCCATAGTTAGGCTTTTGTAACCTTCTTGTGATTTTCCAGTACTTTCCAAGCACTTGGTTGACATGGTGCCTGTACTGCGTGATTACCAGCTTGACCATTTTGATGGTAAAGCTGGCCAATTTGGCGCTGCATCGGCTATACGATCGCGCCCAGACCATGTCTGAGGTGAACCTGAAGGGCCAATTCTTCAAGGTCACCAAGGAGACGGAGTCACGCCATGACGACGAGGGCGGCATCGAGATGAAGGTCATCCGACCGGGTGGCTCACGCATTTCCGTCGAGCAGGCCATCAATGAGGCCAGCGAGGAGAACAGCATCATGTCCATCGACAATGTGAACAGCATCATTGGTGAGTTGTGTTTATTGTAATCTCGACCTGGATGTTAATGCACCTCCTTCGCAGATCTTAAGGTCGATGTGCATCGCAAGAACAGTTCCGAATCTATTGAACTAATGTTCTACGCACCCTCCATGCTGTCAGGCGGCAGCCAGCAGGATCAGCAATCTCTGGCTGGTTCTGCCAGCGTCAGCAAGTCCATTCGGAGCACGGGACCAGGCGGAAATTCTACCACCAGTGCCGCCGCTCAGTCGGATCTGTTCAACAAATACCTAACTGTCTATCCAGAGGTTGTCGAGGCGGCTGGGAGCAGTGCGGGCAGCGCCGATGGTGGTAGCAGCGGCGGCGAAAGCAGATCGGGCGGAGCTGTTGGAGCTTTAGGTCCTGCGGGAGCGGGAGCACCACCTGTCCAGCATGTCCGTACGGGACACCTGTCGCGCAAGTGCTCCGAAGTCTTTAGCCGGCGCCACCGACGACGTCTGGAGCGCCAGAGCAGCTTGGACACTGCGGCAGCGGCTGCCAACTCTAGCGTGGAAAATAAGTTGATGCGGAACCAGTCAGACACGATAGCCACAGCGGCTCCTTCATTTCTTCACTCCCAGCCAACGAGCAAGGCGCGCGGTCAAACCAATCCTCGCCAGCACTTCATAGCCAGCACACCGTCGGCGGGCATAGGCGGGGGAGATGCACCCTCTTCTTCCACCGCCGTCGTCGTAATTGCCCCAAACTCGAATTCATCGGCAAATCCCGGGCGATCCACTCGTCTACAGCGCCACAGAAGCTCGGAAACGCACGACGAACGGCTTAAGCACCAGAGCCGTGGCGGTCTTTTTCAACCGATCCTGCAACTTCCGCACCACAGCGCAGCCAGTAGCATAGGTGCGTTAGCGGTGATTGGCGGAGGTGGAAGTGGCACTGCAAACGATGTGGAAGATATGGAACTAGGTCTGGCCAGGAATGCGGGCAGCGGCGGAGTCTCCGACGTCCGCAGCCGGGCACTACAATCCTGGATATTAGGTAGTGTTTTTGGTAACATAATTATATCACTTTCTCACCTTTTGTTCTTCTGACTTAGATCCTTTTCCGGATGTGTACCTAGAGGACGATAGCTACACCAAATCTGATTTGGGTATTGAACAGCCGCATCAGCCGACTTTCCGTGCCCAACATCATCATCATCATCACCATCACCCCTACCTGCATCATCACCTAGGCGGTTCGATTATCCGTAAGGATCCCACTAGCACAATGTCCGCACTTCAGCTGGCAGGAGGCGCCCCACCGGGAGCAGGAGGATCGGGTACTGGAGGAAATGGAGCTGCAGGAGGTGGTGGTTCTGCTGCCGGGATGAAAAGACGGAGACATTCCAACGCAACCAGCTACAAACATGGATCAAGCCAGGGCAACAAATCCTCTCTGGTGGGCGGTGGAGGAAACAGGGGTCAGGCCGGAGAAGCAGGAACATCAGCAGGAAGTGGTGGAGCTGGCGGTGTAAGGCGCATCAAGAGCGCCGCCTTGGAGGTGCTTTGTCCGCAGCCCTCCGTATCCAATCTCAGTCCGCATCCAAACAGCGTGGAAGCCATCTCGGGTCAACAACAGATGCGGAATCCGCTGCCACCTCCGAGCAAAAGTCTTGTGCGAAACCAGCACCTCAATCTGTACCCAACTCAAGGATATAGCGAGGCAAATGCTTCCGCCGGAAATGGAGTACCTGGTAACGGCAGCACCTGCAGTAGCCTATTCTTCGGAAGCTCCAGCGCTTGTGGATCTACAACGGCTCTAATTGAACCTCCAGTGTATCCCATTGTGGAGCATTCTGACGAGAAGACGGTACACGAGGAACACGCCGACGTTTGCTCAGGATTGGGTCAAGGTAACGCCGACGATGACGATGAGGTAGACGATGTCCCAATCCGAAGAAGAACGCGGGCGTTGGGCTGCAGCCAAACGCACTACAGTGCCGAATCGGATGTGGGCGGTTTCCTGGCAGACGTCGACGCCGCTGCCGAGGACGTGTTTAAAGATTTCGACGACAACCTGGAGCACATTCTTAGCGAACTGCAGCAGACGCACAATCAACTGGATGATGTCCTAAAAACCCACGAAATCCATCACCACTCGCATTTGCACCATCAGCATCATAAAGGGATACCAACGGAGAGCGCAGGATCATCTGGAGCCCCTCCAGATGTGGCAGTTGTGGTAATTGGCGGAAATGATGATGAAGACGAGGAAGCGGAGGATAACAACACAGGATCGCGTTCCCCGCTACTTAGCGACCGCAATCGTAATCAAGCAACGCTGCGAGAGATCCAGGCGGACAAGCAACTGCGCCAGGAGCTGTCTCACCAATCTGGGGCAGTAATCCCGGCCCCTATTGCACCCGTTCCCATTCGCAGCGAGGCAGATTCGGGCTGCCCGTCCAGCGATTGCGAGCAAGTTAGTGCTAGCTCCAAGGATCAACTTCTAGCTGGCATGGAGTCAGAGCAGCAACCCCATCAGCAGCCCCAAAGAGGCCAATTGGACGAGGAGCAGCCCTGCACATCAAAAATGGCAGCAAAGAGCCTGGGAGCCATTCCAAAGGTGGTGAAATACCGAGAGGTGGATGAACTTAGAAGAAGACGAAGAGGAGGCTCACCCGCAGATGCTCCCGAGGTCAGTAACGAGTTTGCTCTGGTAAAACAGACCAAGATGGCCTCCCGCAATTCTTCTTCCTCAAATTCAACGCACAGCATCAGCTTGTCCGACAGCTTGACGGCTGACATTCATAAGATGCTATGGCTTATGCACGGCGGAGCTGTAGATGAGCGCGGCAGACCCATTACTGGCCGATCGGCGGACGGTACTCCCATCCCGGCGAGCAGCAGCCTCGTTCCGCCGAACATGTCCAACGCACACTTCCAGTTCTATCAGGATGCCATTCAAGCTCTCCAGGGTGCCCATTCCACTTCCGGTTCTAGTGTGGAGCACATGACCAACATAGAGCGGGCATTGGCGAGGGATAAACTGCGTATGGATGCCAAGTTGATGTGCGAGCAACTTGCAGCGGCAGCGGAGGCGAACTCCGGAGTTCGTGGAAACACTCTCGCAACCCAACAGATGACGCAACACCAGGTCGGCATGCTAATGCGAGGTAGTTCCAGCTCGCGGCATCCATCAAGCGCACCATTCTCTGTCCAGGGATTGATTAATGTGATTCGCAACGAACGGCAGGTGGCACGCAGCCAATTGGACGCTTTGCAGCAACTCAGTGATGCGGCAGCGGCAGTGGCAGCCAACGCCAGTGAGGCTGCTTCTGTTTCAGTTTCTGGAGCTGGAGGCGGAGCGTCGAGTAGCGGTGGAGGAGTTTTAAGCGCCCTAGGTCTGGCGAATCATCCTAGCAACCAGATCAGCCAAATTAGTCAAATCAGTCATTTGAACCAACAAATGCTGCATGTGGATGCGCAACATTTTGCACCATACTGCGACTATTGGAGGCCTGCGTGCTTCCTTTCCGCAGCAGAAAAGCCAGCAGCTCCCAAGAGTTTCTACAAGTACCGGTTCAAATGGTGCGGTCAGGAGCACGAGTTCAAGATAGCCATGGACCGCTTGGAGCTCCTAGCTCTGTTCGACCGGGATCTACATTGGATGCATGTGCTCCTGGCCAGCATGCTATGCACCATGGTAGCCTGCTTAGGCGCGGCTATCCTGCAGCATGACCACTACAAGGATCTGTGCGCCCTTCTCTTTTGTGCGGTAATCGCTGGAGCTCAATACTCCCTGGTGAAAAGTGTTCAGCCGGATGCAGCGTCGCCAGTTCATGGTTTTAACAAGACGGTAGCCTATTCGCGGGCTATATATTTCTGCCTAGGGGGAGGTATGCTCCTTCTCCTAAAACGATTGGATACAGACTATGGGCAACGGCCGCCGGACCCTGTGACCTTTTTTGGCATGCGTTACTCGCCCGCCGATGTGGTAGCTCTTCTGTTACACTCCCTCTACATCCTCTTGCTGTGCTTTCCCATCATCTTCTCGGTGGGACTGTGTCCGCAGATTAACACGTTCCTTATGTACCTACTGGAGCAGATTGACATGCACGTCTTTGGGGGAAATGCTGCAAGCAGTCTGCTAGGTGAGTCCCTTTTTAATCTCGACCCTGAAATAAGACTAATTTATAAATACTTTCAGGCTCCTTTTTGTGCGTTGTGCGCTCGGTGCTTGCTGTTATGCTGTTGTACGGACCACTGTACGGAGCATTAGATGAGCAACGTGGCACGCAGTACATTCTATTCTCAATCTTTTGCGCCATGCTGGTGCCTCTGAGCTACCACCTGTCCCGGTGTGCCAGCGACTTTAGCCATCTGTGGCGGCTTATCAAAACATGTATTGTAAGTACGTATCGTGACGATGAGGACGAGGATCTAAGCCAAGTGCAACAGGCAGCGGCAACCGAAACAGTTAATGCAACAGAAGCTGGCACTACCGTCCAGTTACCCACCAGTACACCAAAACAGCGCCGACAGCCAGATTTGAAAACAGAGCAGGAGCAGATCGAACTAAGCTCGCTGGAAAAGCTAACTGCCAATGAGAACCAGCAAGAAAAGGAGAAAGAAGCCGACGATCAACTAGATCCAGAACAGGATCTGCATTTGCTTCAGAAGCATAGCAAGTCGAAAGCCTCGTCCTTAGGCAGCAGCCAGCAAACCCTGGCCAAGACCATAAGCAGCAGTAAGAGAGTCATCACAGCGTCTAGTTCATGTACCTCCATAGGAGCAGGAGAACCAGCGGCGGAAGCCGGTACATTGGCTGGAGAAGCGGTGAAGAGTGAAGAACATCGCGGGGATATACTGACCAGTGAGGAGGCAAGCAAGAACGAACTGGCGGATGCATATGACCAAGCCGCTAATGATGATGAGGCCGAGGACAAGATCTCAAGCTCATCTGCCACAAATCCCGGAGATATGTCTACGTTGACAGCTGGAGCGGGTACTGCCACTACAGATGCCACACCGGCTTGCTTGGAGGCATATCCCGACGCCGAAGGAGAAGCGCCTGCCAATGAAAAACAACACCAGGGGAATCTGGGAACAGGAACTGGAACTACCGAGGCCAGTGAAAACAGCAGTGGTGGTGGTGGCAACGGAAATGCCAATGGAAATGGAACTGGCAATGACCTTCCGGATCCACTGCCAAGAAAGCTTCAGGCCACCGTAACCACTCGCCTGAAGAATGATCTGGTGGTAATGACCCTTTTAGCTGTCAGTGTACTGGGGCTACACTCCAGCACTGTGTTTACCGCTCTGCAACCGGATCTCAACGTAGTACTATACTCTTTTATTGGCGTTCTGGGACTCCTGCTTCACTACATTGTGCCCCAAATGAGAAAGCACATGCCGTGGCTTTGCTTCGCTCGTCCATTGCTCCGGCAACGTGAATTCGGCCAGTACGAAGTGCTTAACGCGCCTAAGATCATGTGGTTTGAGAAGTTATACATTTACCTCAGTGTGCTGGAGCGGAATGTGCTCTTTCCGCTGCTGGCTATCTCCTCTCTGACGGCGGACTCGCAGTTAATTGTGACCAAGTTTGGATTACCTTGGGGCACCCTCATTGTGGCCATCTGCGCTCTAAAGTGTGAGTCTTCCAAGTACATCATAAAGAAAAAAATTATTTGTTAGTTTTTGGTATATAAGAATCTAAAATTTATGATCTCCCGTCTCTCTCACTTTCACTATAATCATCGCTGATCAGTCGTGAGGAACGCTTACTCCGATCCAACCAACCAGTACCTGATCATCATTTTTACGGTTTTGCTATTCCGCATCGACTTTGCCATGGCCACGGAGACCTTCATCATTGACTACTTCTTTGTATCGCTGGCCTTCCGCAAGTGCTGTGACTTCCTTCTGAAGGTGAGAACTCCACCAGGCTATCAGATTATACCTAGTCTAAACGAATTCCTTCCTTAGCTGCAATTCATTGTGACTTACATTGCTCCGTGGCAAATTACTTGGGGCTCTGCCTTCCATGCCTTCGCACAGCCGTTCAGTGTGCCCCACTCGGCCATGCTGTTCTTGCAGGCAGGTATATCTGCCCTGCTCTCAACTCCGCTAAATCCTTTTTTGGGAAGCGCTATTTTCCTTACATCGTACGTTCGACCCATTAAATTCTGGGAGCGGGACTACAACACACGTCGGATAGACCACTCCAATACGCGGCTTAGCTCACAGCTTGAACGGGATTTGGGTGCAGATGATAACAACCTTAACAGCATTTTCTACGAGCACCTGACCCGTTCTCTGCAGCACTCTCTGTGCGGAGATCTCCTAATGGGCCGCTGGGGAAATGTGAATCAGGGAGATTGCTTTGGTAACACCTTAACATGCTGCTCCAAATGAACTTTATTACAATTACCATACTTACAGTTCTTGCTTCTGACGATCTAAACTGCTTGGTTCACATAATTGAGCTAGGCAACGGATTGTGCACATTCCAAATGCGTGGTTTGGAGTTTCGAGGCACGTACTGCCAGCAGCGCGAGGTAGAGGCAATTACCGAGGATGTGGAGGACAACGATGGCTGCTGCTGCTGCGATCCAGGGCACCTGCCGCGACTACTCAGCGCTAATGCTATGTTCTCCACCCGCTGGTTAGCCTGGCAGGTGGTCGCCGCCCAATATGTGATCGAGGGGTACTCCATATCAGACAATTTAGCCAGTGCCACGCTGCAGGTGTTCGAGTACCGTAAGGTGCTCATCACCTACTACATTAAGGTGAGCTTTGTTATATTTTCGCGCGATAACTTCAGCTAAAAAAAGATATTTTTATAGAGTATCATATACTATGTGGTGAAGAATCCCAAGCTGGAACAGTGGCTGGCATCCGGCCCCATTCAGGATGCTCTGCAGCACACGCTGAGTCGCCAGTTCGTCGACCTAGATCCCATTTTCAATTTTAATTTAGACGAGGACTTTGACTTTCGGGCGGTGGGAATCACACGGTCAAGTTTTTGCTATGTGTACCTAAAATGGATTAACTACTGCGTGGACATGCGCCGAGATGCTGCCACTATGGGAGCTGCGCAACCTACACAAGCACCAGCAGGTACTGGAGGAGCGTCCTCCGCCCCAGCAACGGCGGCCGCTGCTCCTCCGCCTCAGGTCACCCCTGCCCATAATGATTCGAAGAGCACCCCGAATCTTTCGGCACATGGTGGAACAGCCGGTCCAGCTTCGGGGCAATCAAAATCACAGTCGCAGCAGCAGTTGCGTCGTCCGCAAAAGAGTATTGCTCAGGAGAGCAGCGGAGGAGGAGTAGGAGCTACAGGAGGAGTTAATGTCAGTGGCACAGGAGGAGGACCAGACACCATTGGCGCAGATCAGCAGCTGAGCAGCTCTCATAGCTTTGCTAATATATCCCGGCAAACATCAGAAAGTGCTCCAGGACTTGGTGGTTATGTGACCTATATGGATCAAAACGTATTCGTCAAGCTGGCCAAGAGTAGCACCACCACGGGAGCAGGAGCCGGAGGTCCAACAAATCGAAAAGAAAGTCAAGAAAAGCCAACACTTCGATTAAAGCTGGCCAGCGTGGGTAAAGATGCACCGCTGGTCTCCCTTTGCCTGGCCCTGGGCCTTCTTGCCAGGCGATCATTGGCCACCGCATCACACAGTTCACTCACAGGTGTGGAGTTTTTTCTACACGGTCTGCATGCCCTTTTCAAAGGGGATTTCCGGATCACTTCGCCGCGCGATGAATGGGTTTTTGCGGACATGGAGCTTCTTCATTCAGTTGTGGCTCCGGCGGTTAAAATGGCACTTAAGCTTCAGCAGGACCACATTACCAATCCCGATGAGTTTCTGGATCCACATGCCCTTTACGATGCCATCGACAACTGCTCCAACGAGCTAGTCATTTCGCATGAGGCGGATCCTGTATGGCGAAGTGCCGTTCTCCGAGGAGCACCCAATTTACTAGCTCTGCGACACGTTATGGAGGAAGGGTCGGATGAGTATCGCATTATCCGGCTGACGAAGCGTTGTCTGAGCTTCCGGGTGATCAAGCTCAACCGGGAGTGCGTCCGAGGCTTGTGGGCAGGTCAACAGCAAGAGCTGATCTACTTGCGAAATCGGAATCCAGAGCGCGGGAGCATCCAAAATGCGAAGCAGGCGCTACGCAATATCATTAATTCCAGCTGCGACCAACCGATTGGGTATCCCATCTACGTGTCTCCACTAACTACCTCTTATGCGGATACAAACGCTCAACTGTGTGAGGTGATTGGAGGCGCCATTACATTGGAAACTATACGACACACAGTGCTGGGTTGGTGGCACCGCATTCGTGAGCGCTGTCGTCAGGGCTGCAGTTCGGGATCTGCTCTAGAGCCGCATCCGGGATCAGGACCCATCCAGCTTGGTGCCTGTAACTTTGGAAGCGGCGGCAGCGTAGTAGGTGCAGGATCAACAGCCACTGGAGTAGGTGCCTCAGCAGGATCTGGTCTAGGAGTAGTTGCTCCAGGCACTGCCAGCAGCACGGGTGGTGAATCCGGTGATTTGGCGCCCGTATTTATCTCTGCTCCACTTTACAACACTCTCACAGTAAACAGTTACTACAGCGTGCGCTCAGGAAATGTTCCTGGAGGAGCTATTCCCGCCAATCTAGGCGGAAACTATGTAAGTGATAGTTTGGCAGTGGTGCGTGGAGGTCTGGCCGTAATGCCTGTGAAACCCACCTCCACAACGTTGATTGCCGGTCTGTTGAACAGAGAACGAGATCAGGAAACTTCCGGAACTGGAGTTGGAGGAACAGGAGCTAGTGGGCCCATCAGAGCAACAAGTAGCGGCGGAGTTCGCAGTCGCAGACCTGCTGAAGTTGGTAGCAGTCGAGGCAGAGACCATGAGCGCAGGGCCACCTTGCCCATTGCCAGCGGTGGAGCAGGGGGAGAGTCTGGAAAAGATTTGGCCACACCTCAAACCCAAGTGGAACATGAGCCAAGTCCGCGCAGCACAAAGCTTTCTTCATCTTCCGGCAGCCTTGGTCTGGGAATGGGAGTTGGCCTGGGCAACATTATTACCACGCCTGGAGATTATCCACGGAAGACCAAGGGACCGATTTGCCTCACCTCCGTTGAAACGGGAACGAGTGCATCAATAGCGGAAGGAAAGCCCGCAGGATCGGGACCGGTATCAGGAACTGGAGGAGGTGCAGTCATCCGAAAGCCGCGCATTGAGATATTCAAGAAGGTTATTATAGTGGATGACACTGGGGTGAGTAGAAATAACAAGTAGTTTATAACCTTTAAATCAGGATAATAATGATAAACTTCGGACAGATTTACGACTGCCTAGATATCATCGATGCCGTAGTGTGGCCCACCGAGCGAATGCGCAATAACGGCGGTAGACTGTCCTGGAAGGATTGGGAGCCAAGTGCTGGCATGGTCGGCCATGTGGTCCATTGCTGGACGCCCAACCACAAGGACGTGCGCTTTCGTTCACATGTCAACCGGTACGTTTACCTCGTGGAGATCGGTGACCACTACGTGCCCGTTGAGGAGCTGGGTCTAAGGGAATACAATCAGATTATGGGCAGCACCGAGGACATTGCCAATTCGAGGCGCAGCTCCATTCAGCGTGATTTCCACGAGTACAACATCCAACTAAAGCTGGCGGGCTTAACTCCAATTATTGGAGGCACTGGATCATCTAAGCCGACAACCAGCAACGCCTCTAAACCGCACAAGTCCAAAATCCAAGCAGTGAGCAGCAGCAGTTCTGAGGATGAGGACACTTCATCTGCTCGTTCCATACCATTGCCACATGACGATCCTGGCGATTTGACGAACTTCACCAGATTGGTCAGTATGTGGAAGGAGATAATCTTGGACAACAGCAAGCGAAGACTCTATGATATGGGTGAGTTGTCGCCGGAGTTGCTTCAAAAACTGGACGATGCCGTTCACCAGCAGCAACAAGGGGCACCTGCTGAGGTGACGGAGGAGGAAGTCGCAGCCACAGCCACAGTCACAGACACTGCCAATGAAGGTGAAGAAGGGTTAAGGGAAATAGAAAATGCACCAGAGCAGGAAGAGAAGGAAGTAGTGGATTCCCAGGAGCAAATGCCGATGGAAGAGGAAACCGTTTTCAAGCCCGAAGAGCAGCCAGCTCCACCAACACCTCCGTCTAGTCCCGTTCCTGCTGAGGCCGGCTCCACTTCCAGTGCCAATTCCCCAACTTCTCCTTCTCAGAGTCAGGAGGAGGGTGCAGTCGATGCAGAGGAGACCCGTGAATTGGCCTCGGAGGAGCCACCAAGCGATGGGAATGACAAAAGCGAGACGGGGACAACGGTCTAAAGGGATAACGATGGACCTGCCAACACAAGATTTGCATTTGTTTGCCAAGCAAACACACTAACGGCATGGACTCACACCCAGGTAAACATGGCCATGGACACAAGTTTGTAATACATATCAGCAAAGAGCAGAAATATGAAGACAGATATTGCAGAGTGGAGACGACGACCCTGCTCCGGGCTTCCGCATTGTGTGCCTCTTTGCATGGGTGTAGCCCCATATCCGAACACCGATCGTGGCCAGAGTAACAAACAACAAATGAGAACACTTCCAAGAAATCAAAGTAAAGTTTATAAAACGACTGCGTTTAGTGTATGCTTAGCAATTAGGAGCAAACTACAATAATTCAGACAAAAACAAAACAAAAAACAAAGAATTCAATATTTAGTATTAATGAAAAGTTATAGATTATACTCAGTATATAGGAAAAAGAGCGCAAATCGAGAGCAAGAGCTTGGACAGAGATCATAAGATAGATATCCAAACAAATCTTGTAATTTGCGAAATGTATAATACGGAAAAGGAAAACCAAATGCTTCTCAAACATTACCTATTTTGTTCTTTCTCCTCTTGCTAGCCAATACAGAAATATTAAGCAAACCTAAAGAATTTATAAATGTATATTTAAAGGAAATTAGTTTAAAGATAAAGTTAATGATCCCCCACACATATATACACACACAGACACAAAACATACCAAAATTGATTGTTAAAGAGTACACAAATTATACAGAAATCGCATAAAATTAGCATAAGCGATAAGCGAACTTCGGACAGGATTCAAGTTACAAAACTAAGATATTACACACAATTCCTAGACAATTAAGAGGTTAAGGATGAGGACGAGGATCAAGTGGAATGACGACATGTAAAGCTCTCACGTTGCCTTAATATATTAGACTGATTTTTTCTACACACACATTTGTAGACGTATGGAGGATGACATTCGAGGAGTCCCAGTCAGGAAGTCTGGGAAGTAGGAGGAGCTGCAGCAAACGGAATCCTAATCCCAATCCCAACTAGCGATTTACATGTACATATAGGGAAGAGCGAAGCTAAGCGAACAAAGCTACAGTTTGTCGGCCAATCCGAATCCAATCGTTCCGTTCGTTCGATGCGTATATAACCAAGGCATATACCCACTATATAGCCACATGCCCAATTAGCCAAATCTCTCATAAACACAAGTGTAAATGCTAATTTTTCACAACCAGCAGAAGGATTAACTTACGATTAATTATCAAGAGAGAAAAACTAACAGACAACAAAAAGAAAAAACAAAATACAATGAATATTGATTATTTCTATGTACATATATGGATTGTATTAAACATTTATCGAAACTTAGCTGTTAACAAATACATTTTTATTCCCCCTCACTCCACTCCATTTTTTTAGTTCCATTTAAAACAAATTTCATATTTATATTATACATAAAAAAATTATATAAATATATATCAATTAAATAAATAATAAATGAAACTTGTTATACAAAAGCACCTGCAGTTTTCTACCTTTTTTATTTAGCCTTGGGGTTCTTTTCCATCCACTTGTGCCCACAAAGTTAAGCAGATTCTGGTATTCCTCCAAATGGGCTAAAGACAGACTGGATTAGTAATCGAGGATCGCTTATCCAGCCGCGCCGTTTGTGAATCTGCTTATTCCTCTTTCGTTGGAGACCTTCGATCAGGTGGAGTCGTGGAGTCTTTAATTATCCTTTGTATGTGGAAAGGAAAGCTCACCTATATGTGCTCACACAACCTCGCACTCTTGCTGAGGGCTAAGTAATACCAAGTGTTACAACTTTACTTAAAAATATTTTGAATGACCGTTTGCCTTTACATTAATAAAAAATATTTAAAAAGTTCAACAAATGAATTGCAAATTTAAAATGTCACTATGGAGGTTTATTGAAATAGTTTGTTCCTTTCAAGTTCAAACAACTTGCAAGGATCTGCAGTTTTGGTGTGCATGTTGAATTCTGATAGACTATTGCGAAAATATGTTGTTCCTGATCAATCACCGCTAGGCGCCGCTTCCGCTGGAGCTTGATCTGCAGGTTCTGGCTCGGATGCAATAGCTGGAACGGCAATATCGTCCTCCGTGACGTCCTTCTGCTTCTTCCACATCTTGGCGGCTGCCAGTAGCTTAAGATTGGGACGTGCCATCTCATCTTCGGGGAAGATGTAGTCAAATACTTCCTCCCAGCCTTCCTCGACGCCATCGTCCGAGACGATCTTCTGCCGTTTTTTGATCCGCCTTGGCATCTTGTCCATTACCTTTTGTAGCGCCTGCGAATCGGCAGCGTCACGCTCGAAGTCGCGCCATGCCTCCAGAAGCAGAACACGTGATTCCTTGTCGCCCAGCTGTCGGAGCATCTCGTTAGCTCGCTCGTAGATTCTCCTGGCTAGCCGCAGGTTGAGTTCGGCATCCGGACCACTGTCGCCGTGGCTGAGGCCCATCTCGAACTTTGCAAACGACATCCAGACCTTGACATGTTGCGTACGCTCCAGGAGTCGCTCATATAGTTGCCTGGCAAGTTCTGTTTCACCAAGGGCAACCTCGAAGTCGATGTACGCCTTCCACAGCAGCTCTGGCATGTCTAAACGCGACTGCTGCACAGCTAATTCGAAAATGGCCCTTGCCCGCTCCGTGTCGCCCAGTAGATTCTCTAGCTCAGCGAACTTCATCCAGGTAACGCAGTTCTCTGGGCCAAACTCCAGGAACTTCTCGTAAAGCAATCGGCAGCGTTCGAATTCACGTAGCTGTATCTCCAGATCAATGTAGCCCCTAAAGAGCTTATCCCTAGGACACATTCCGATGGCCAGGCCCAGAGCTTTGCGTGCCCGTTGCAGTTCCTTGCAGCGAATCTCGAACTGTGCATACAGCAGCCAAAGCTTGCTGAATGTGAACTGCTTGTGGGGTATTAGCTCTAGGCAGGTCTTATAGATCTGTCGCGTGCGTTCCGCATCCTCCGCCTCTAATTCTTCGTACAAAGCATAGTTGATCCACAGGTAGATGTAACGCCTCCAGAAGTTCTTTTCATTGGCGGGCGGCACATTAGAGATGGCCCGCTCGTAGGTTTCGCGGATCTGATCCCGCTCACCTTCCGCCTCAATTAAACGCAAATAGTCAAACCATGCATCATAGTTAGTTGGATTGGCGGCCACCTCCTGCTCGTACTGGTACTTGCGTTTTGAGACAATTACATCCTCTATACCGGCCCTGTCCCCGTACTTCTTTTCATGTATTGTGTAGGCCTTGAAAATCTCCTGCGTGCGCTCCTTGGTCAAGTGGTCCAAAGCGTACTTGTAGATAATACGTGCCCTGTCATGCTCTTTTTGACCCTCCTCAAAACGGGCAAAGGCGATAAACAGTCGCTCCTCGATGTACTCGTCTCCGAAGAACTCAACAGCCCGCTCAAAGACGCGCCGCGAGCCATGGATAAACCCGTGTGACTCCTCGAAGCGGGCGAACTTTATCCAGTTCTTTACGTCTGGGTGCACGTAAACGAATCTCTCATAGACCTCTCGTGCGCGGTCAATCTCCTTGTAGCGCAGCTCGAAGTTGACATAGGTTTGCCATGCCTGCTCTTCAGGTTGCCACTCCATCCAGCGCTCGAACACCTGACGCGCACCGGCCACGTTTTCCAGCATTTCTTCCATGTAGGTGTACTTGTACCAGAACTGATTCACTCGCGGCATAATGGTTACCGCCCGATCCCACAGATTACGCGCATGGTTCACTTGCTTGTTTTTCATCTCCATCTCTGCATACTTCAACCAGAGGGTCACGTTACGATGCTCATTGTCCAGCGCTCGTTCCCAAATGGAGCGTGCACGCTGGATCTCCTGCTGCTGTTCTTCCCACTGAGCATATTTGATCCAATGGCTGACGACCATGCGGTTCTTGCGAAGATTGTCCTCGAAGGTCTTGCGCTTCCGTTGCTGGTAGTCGGCAAGTTCGGCGGGATCAGAGATCTTCTGCTTTGGAGGCGGTGGCAGGATCTCCAAGTCTCGCTCCTTAGCCTCACGGAGCAGTTGCTCTGCAGTGATCTGCACCTCTGCCGGTGCCTTGTTCTTCACCTGGGAACATTTTAGATTTGATTTCTTGTTGTGTTTGCTCGGCTCGTTTTGAACACTTACCTTGGCCACCTTGGGCATCTTCTGTGGCCGCTCCATGTCTGAAATCTGCTTGGTGTGCTTTTAACTTAACAACCTAACTAGTAAATTGCTAAAAACTAATTTGTCAAGAAAGTAAATAATGCCACCAATGAAGAGTTTCGATAGTAGTATGCGTATATCGATAGTTCTGACGATTACAACGTCTCCACTGTCTTTGAATTTCGTATTGTGAAAGTGTAAAAGATGTATTTTAGTGCGAAAGTACATCATTGGCACTTTTAAATATGTACAAATTCAAATATTTGCTTTTAACTGCAATAATTTTATTTATGTGTATTTCGCATTTCCATACCTCCAAAATGAAAGACTTGTATAATTTTTAACCAAGTTTAGACTAAAAATAAAATGGATAAGGATTTTACTGCTAAATGAGTCATTTTTTAACATTCTTGAACAAGAATCTTAATGCACAAATTAACGTTTGTAATTACAATATGAGCTTTATTTAAGAGACGAAATTCTGCAGGAACCATTTACATACACAGGCACATATACAAAGTCTATCAATACGAAAAAAAAACAATACTGGCTATTATGCCGTTGCCAAATCATTTGAAAAATCTCCACGAGTTTCCGTTACGCTTCTCTGGTTTAACTACTACCCAGTGATCGGGGTTCATCAGATAGTCGCTATAACAAATCAATGAGGCGTTACTAACTAGTCCAGGCTTGCAGTTAAGAAACTCACCGATGATCAGCCAAGGACTTTTGAGTCTGAGTCCGCAGTGATTCCAATGATCCAGCTTCTCCGCCGTATTCCTCCGGCAGCATGGCTCGCGGTACAAATTCGTACAAAGTATCTATGCTCTGGGTGTGAAAGCGGATCTGGAAAATATGATAATATTTTAAGACATATATAATATCGTATCCCATTCAAAACCGACCAGTTTGAAGACCTCTTCGCTGATGAATGGCTTCACCACGCTAACAATTCGATCCAAGTATGATGGACAATTGATCATGTGGATGGCGCGCAGGCGCACCGGAAATGCAAGTTGAAGGAACTTGATGTATGCGCGAAGCGTGCTGATCGTCAGCCTCGAAATGTGTCGCATGGTAGTACCCTTCATGTCGAAAACCTGCACTTCCCCCTCAGATAAGATATCCGTGTTTCCGGGATCGTCTGGCGTCACAAAACGACAATCGCTGACCATAAAGAAGGCGCGCGTATCCTCCGTGTGGTGCATCTGGGAATGAGATTGATCTGAAGAAGATGGGACTTTTTCAATAAAGAAGTTATACAACTCACCTTGGTGGCATCAAAGTCCCGAAAGCAGTACAGCGATACCTTGTACTTGTCTGGCGTCAAACCAGGCAGCGGTAAAATGTCCCTGTGATATGTAAATTTTATACATTTTTAATAGCACCAAAAAAGTTCATGTTTAAATTAATAGTTTCGTAAACTTTTTAAGTACAAATGCAGATTGACTTCGGTTTTTGGTTACTTTAAAGAAACCTGTCCTGAAAATAAGGACACACTCACGCGTAGTCGAAGGTGCGTCGGCTATCCGCATCTAGGGGATCCCTCTGGATGAACAGGCGCGGATGTCGGTTGCGGAGGGCGTAGTTCACCTCGATGAGCTTCTGGGTCTCCTCCACGTCCCCAAACATGCACTGATAGAACCGTCGGAGCAGAAGCGGCTCTGCAAATATTTTATTTATTATCAATATTAATATATTTTAGACTATTTCGAAATATATATTTATAAACAAACTCATACGAGTTGAAAGATTGGCTTAGGGAAGCTTGACTATATATTGTTGTTTGTTTGTATACAATACACTGTAGTGACGTAAGGCAGCGAGTGGGGCGGCCTACTAACGACCTCATTAGTGGGAGGGTAGGTGGGTGGGCAGTGATTTTATGGTATTGGATGGGCCGGTGTCTGGTGAACGGATGTGCGATTCCCACACGCTCTTTGAGGTCTTTTGCTTACCAATCTCCTTGGGAAGTCTGTCATTTTGCTGGAACCACTCGAGCAGCTCCTTGAGGTCCCTTTCCTGTTGCAGCTGTTCCGTCGTACCGCTGGCCTCCGTCTCATTCACACTCGCGTTGCTCATTGGTACGCCTGGCTATCGAATTGTTCACTGTACACCTGTTGTATCGCCTATCGGATGGAATTATCGCTTTCGAATCACTTTTGAAAATCACTTTCGAACCGTTGAGCTTGAAGCCTGGCAAACGACTGACTGCGAGTCTCAAATCGGTTTTGCTCATCGATTTAGCTTTGAATATTCAATGGCAATGCGTCTGCGATTAAAAACACGTAATTTCATAATTGCTTTGTGCCGTCGTTTGGTCAAAGTGCTTAATAGTGCCTAAATACGTTCCCTCCCAGCTTCTGGATCTGCCTAATCACCTGGCCGTGTGCCGCATCCAAATTCCGTAAAATATAATGACAATTTTTGCTTCATTTACAAAAGAAATTTAGATTTCCTTTTACTAGGTAATTAAAATTATATTGCCAAAAACATTTTATTTCAAATTTAATAGAAATTAAAGAAATTTCTTCCATATGATATGTTACTTTTCCATTCTTATCACTTTTAAGGGGAGCTATAATAGTAATTTTAATTACTTTTGGGTGTAATAAAATCTCATTAAATACAATTAATATTATTTATTGGTATACCAAGTGTATTGTTCACATTGCTGCTAATAAACAGGCAGTTGTCCCTTATTTAATAATAGAAAAAAAATGCACTTAACGTAAATTATAAAAATATTATAGAATAATAAAAAAGTTAGAAATTCTTTTTCAAGGTCTACTTTATACTTTTGAAGCTGACAAACTAAGCTTTAAACCCTGTAGGTATTTATGGGAATTCCCCGACTAATCGATAGCTTTCCTGTGGCAAGCGCCCCTCTTAATCACATTTTAATAAAATCACGTTCGCAGGATATCTGTGGAAGTTATTTGAATATCCGAATATCAAAACCAGGACCATCGACTCTTGCTTTGGGAGGCCACCTTCCAGTACCGCTCATCGCTTAGGTAGGCACTGTAAGTCCAAATTTGAGCGACATGTAGGAACATTCGCAATCTTAAATAATGCTTAAGTTAACTTACGTTTTATCCTTGATAGACTGAACGGCCCGGGCCTTGAGTTCCGCTATGGAGCCAGCCTTGCCGCCATACTCATCTGGCAGCATATCCCTGGGCACTTCCTCATAGAGACTTTCCAGGCCCCCTGTATGGTACTTAATCTGTAACGAAATTCCATTAGAAAATTTAAAACATAAAATCTCCATTCAGTGTTACCATGTTCCGAACTTCCTCCCTGAGAAAGGGAGACATCATAGAGATGAGCCTGTCCAGATAAGAGGGGCAATTGATAACATGCATAGCCTGCAAACGAGAGGGATATGCCTCCTGTAAGAATTTCATGTAAATACGCAACACAAAAATGGATACGTAGGCCAGATGACGTAAGGTATAACCCTCAATGTCGACGATGTGAACATCGCCTTTCGCAATATCGGCTTCGTCTAGAACGTAATCCTCCACGTTTCCTGCTCCTCGCTCCACATCTGGTATTGTGAATCGTGCATCGCTCATCATGAAGAAGATTTTGGTCTCCTCCACGGAATTACGCTATAAGAAAATTGAATTTAAAAGCTGGTTTACACTTCAGTTGTTATGCCCACCGTATGTGGATCCAGATCTGCCATACGGAAGAAGAGCAGTTTAGTACCTTGGGGCGTAATACCGGGTAATATCAGAAGATCCCTTTCAAGGCGGAAGTAAATTAGGCATATAGTTTTCTATTTCATATTTTACTTACGACACCTTTAGACCCTTGGCGGTCATCTCGTCCTCCATGTTGCGATCCATGAACAGATGCGGATGCTTATTCCGCATACTGTAGTTGAGTTCCACCAGGGATTTGGTGCGTTTAACATCAAATGCCATGCACTTAAGGAATCGTAGCATTACTATTGGTTCTATATAAAGTACATTTAAAAAATAATGTAGAAAAAAATCCTTAGATAACAAAGAAAACTAAAATGAGTAATAAACCCGCTTTAATAAATAGGAATTAACCATAAGTGAGATAATCCGTAAATACACCGAAAGAATAAACTATCTAAGAGACATTAGATACTCTAATGAAAGGAGGAAGCGTTGATATATCACTCTATAATATTCCATGCACTTGACCTTTGCCACTGCCCAGTTACAAGGTTAATGAATCGTTAACTATATCAGGTTATTGCGCGCCCATTAGTTTTGTCTGGCTCTTAGCTGGTTATCAATCGAAGCGAAACGCATTTGAGTTTCATTTGCCTGTTTAGTTACCGATCTTCTCGGGCAGATTGGGATTGCCCTCGAACCAGGCAATCAGCTCAGCCAGCTTGTCGCCCCATTCATCCGATGAGGAGGTGGATTTGGAGGCGGTGTCTTTATTCCCATTATCTTTATCCATTGAGGAAGGCGAATGCGTCTTTCTGGGGCCGCAAAAAGCTACTAACTAAACAAGTATCTTAGCTAAGTACACCAATTGATAAAGCTAACAAGCCCGCACATATTCCTATCAAATACATACCCATTGTTCCGACACGATCTTTAGCTTTTCACGCTCCAATCGGCGAGAGGAAAAGCTCCGCAGCAAAGCTCGCCAAAAACTAAACCGCACAAATGAATCCAGTTGTTTGTAATTAAGCAAAGGCCCGAGCGGTTTTAATATCTTCATTAGAACCCAAGTCGAACCAGCAATACACTTTTTGTGGAATCTTTATTGGATCTGATGATGGACACCTACAATATACAATACACATCCAATACACGTAGAACTCGATCTCATCGTTTTACTTGGCTCACGGGCTTAACTCGTTTGCGATTTGCTTTATTCAATATTGAGATGGAACCGCCACTAAGAAAAAAATATACAGTATGTCTATGTGTATATATATGTAGTATATGGCTAGCAACATACTCGTAATACTTAGCCCGATGTATGAAATCGTCAACGGTCGCAAAATTGTTATTCTCAAAATTCTCAAAATGTTAACATTGTTGTTTTTAGACCTTAGACCTTAGGATTTCACCTTGTTATCATAACAGTTTTCAGCTAGCATTATCTGAATCCGGAATAGGTATACCTTATACAGTATACCTAATTGGTACACCTAGGGTAACATGAATGTGGAGGGTCTCGAAACCTACATAACGCACATAACACCGATAAAATACATACATAACATATATTAATTCTGGACCGGATCGGTTCTGTTTGGGGAATTGCAAATTGGAGTTCGAATTGAATAGACCTACGCCTAGGAGTTTACTTTAGGAAATACACATTGGTGGCACAAAAACCGTTTTGGGCAGCATATCGACCAAGGCCTTGTGGCAAAATACATATGTAGATACAGCAATTGATATCGTATCATCTCAGATCGGATATACTCGTACATAGATAACGTTCTACATGCTACATTATTATTGTGGCTCATAAAGCTCTTCTCCTCTCTTTCTCTTGATCTCTTTCCTTTGCTCTATTTAATAGATAAGTTATAGACATGGAACAACATTACTGGCACTGGCAAATGCTACGAATTGAGAATGCACCCATATCGAAGGAAACCCTCATACATGGAGTATAGATCAATCTTATTAACTAGTCTTATCCTCTAAGCCAGCGGATTTCAGTGTATACGGTATAGGGAAACATAATCCATGGAATTGAAAAATAAAAATAACTGAAAAATATCAGTTGGAGTTTACGGATGCCTAAACCTATACCTAAACAGTATCCCTATCCATATCCTTCAACTTCTGGCCGCAAAACTTAAAGTTTAGCTTGCGTCGCTTGACTTGTGTCTCACGTTCAATACTGACGGGTTGCGATTGCAGGAGATCTGGCCGCGGATCCGGTTCCGTGTCCGTATCCATATCCGGAACATGTCACATGGTGTGCGTCCGGGCCACGACATCCCTTCGCAATCGTCGGGACTAGCTGAAGATGCTGCGTCATAAGCTGACGAGCGTTGCCTTGCGTTGAGCCTCCAATCGGATTTCTAGGGTGGCATATGGCGGCACACTGATAACCAGCAGAACTACCAAGGCAATTATCTTCATCGATTCACAGAGGAAACCGTGTCCGGCGAAGGTTAATCCTAGTCCCAAGAATCGAAGCGCCTGCAGCGGCGCCTGAACCTCCGTGACATGATTGGCATGATTGAGTGTGACGAGCGAAAGCAAGAGGGTCTCCCACATACCGTTGCAGGCGCCCCACGAGGCGGCAATCACGTAGAAAAGGGCACTATCGTCGCTTGAGGGCTTCCAACTGGACAGAGCCAGCAGTAGGCAGGAGTGAAAGAAGAAACCAGCCACTGAAAATGGGAATTAGGTTATTGTATTGGATTATAAATAAATATGAAACTCACAGATTACGACGATCCTCTTGACGTGTCTTAGCAGCATGCTTAAAGTGCAGGAAACAATGAGCTGCATGAGGCCCATGCCAATCAAGGCGCCTGCAATCATCCCAATCCCCAAAGAGCAGGTAACAAAAGCTCTCAGGAAGTCGCCCAACATATACGCCTGTTCCGTGCCCACAAAATAAGCCAAAGGACCGGCAAAAAGCAGAGTATCCGTGATGCTAACATCCCTAAAACGCTCCATTCGCGAAGAGCCAGTTGATTGTATCTTGTCCACCATTATCACCAGGGATAGGATCAAGGATATCATTGAGAATAAGATATAAAGCCATAGCAGGGATTGCCCAGCCACTCGAGGCTCGCTTTCGATGAAACCAGCATAAATGGAACTGGGTATGGAGCTTCCATTGGCCCAACCCGCTGCTAGAAGCGATTGCACTCTCAAAGGACACATGTCTACCCCACATATCCTGTCGCCGTGCTCGTTTCTATTGTAGAAATCTCTCAGTTGCGGTGGCCAGCTCTCATTGCCATAGTAAACCAGTCCTGAGCAATCTCCCGTAAAATCTCCATCGCTGCAGGCTAACAGAACGGAGGCTAGAAGGGCTCCTCCGATGAGTCCGATATCCTGGGAAACTCTAAACCACCTGGCTAGACGTCTCACCTTCTGATCCCGGTTGCAGAACATCTTGTGCTCCTCGTGCAAAACATCTACCGCCGCCTGGGATTGCTGAGACTCGCAGGAGCAGCTTAACTTCCCTCCAAAATGGACAATCAAGGCTGCCTTAGAGCTAGCAGATCCGCTCAGGGTCACGCCAAGTAGCAAATAGGCGGGTAAAAGAGTATAAATGGAGGCGTACAGATGCGATAGGAGGAATAAAACCACTGCTAAGTAGTTTACTGCCAAAAGGGGCCCATAACCATATCGTTTCATCAGTCGAACACTGGGAATGCTCATTCCAGCGGCAACCAGGAAAAGAGCACTCAATAGGAGGGATCCTATCTCCGGACCAAGTGGCAACCACTGCTCCCGATGGTGCCACACCGCATTGGAGCCTTGGAGGGCCATCACCGGCAACAGAACGCAGTTCATCAATCCATGAGCCAAACTTAAACAGCTAAACTGGCGCCACACTTTTTGGCGCACAAGGGCAGGCACCTTGTGCCGGCAATTACGATTGTTCAACGTTATCAATCGCCGAATGGAGGTAGCTCCAATTGAGCTGTTTATGGACTCTCGACGACGCGAAGCCGCCAAGGCAGCCTGCACTTGGTACGAGGATACTGGGTTTATTCGATGTGAACGAGTCGAAATGGGCGACGGTGAATATGTGGTCAAGTGCTGCTGGAAAAGATAAAGAAAATTTGCGTTACTAAGAAGGTCGGGTTTAGGCAAGTAAACACTTTTCTACTGCTTCTACAAGAAGCCAACAACATATTACAGTAATTAATGACTTAAATGTAAAGTCACATAGATTCAAGGATTATAATAGGCGAGTGGCGTTGCAGCCAGCAACCTTGGGCTTCAATTACAGTTGGATGGAAGGAATGGGAGCTTAGGGAATGGGAAATGCCAGCCAGGTTTGACTTAATTACTTGTTGTGCAACTAGAAAAGATAATCAATTTGCTAGCTCTGACATCTACCCACTGCTAACCACTAACCACCTTTTTTGTCGACATTGAGCCGCAAGATGGTCATGTGTCCATGGCAACAGAGAGCTCAACCTCGATGTCCATTACATCGTGCTGCACTCTGATTTTATTAAAAAGTGACTAGTGCTTTCACCAACCACACAGTAAGAAAAAATGCTATGTTATTGCCACACATGTTAACATTCTTTTCGAATAACGCAGTATCCCCTAACAAACTATTTAACCTGTGAACTGGAATCTATTGACCAACTTACCTCCATCATCTGCTCGTCCCAGACGTTTTGGGCTCCTCCTGAACTACGGGTCCTGAGCACTCGGTGCCTGGTGGTCAGCGAATGGCGATGCTGATGGTGCTGGTGGTGCTGATGCTGATGCTGATGGTGGTGGGAGTGTGGAGCATACTTTTTGCCCATGCCTAGTATAGCAAAGCCACTGGTGGCCACCGGAACCGCAGATCCGGATCCGGTGCCATGCGTTTGGTTCTGCGATTTTCCAGCATTCGTTCCATTGCCACTCGGTAGCTCTCCGTTTCCGGTGGATGTTCCTCCGGCGGCATTGAGGCTCAAAGAACCTCCACCAATCCCCAGACCAGCCATTATATAGGCATTATAGGAGGATTGCTGTTGGGTAATACATATAAATATATTGTTATAGGACTAGACATGGGATCTTGGATAGCTAGTAAGGCAAATGTAAATGACTAACCAAGACACTTTCTTTGATCGGCAGTTATGTTATCGATAACCAAATTTTATGGATTATAACTCACCTTACGCTGCTGGGCGAAAGCGGAGAGTCGCTCCCGCTCGCGACTAGTGTCTCGAGCCCGCTGCTCCAGCAAAAGTTCATACTCCCTCCGCTTCTCCCGCTTCCGCTCCACCTCCTCCAGTTCGTGAAGATTCGGCAGACTGCCCATTTCCGGCGATTATTGACCACTTATCGAAACGTATCGGAGTTGATTCTGAGTTATGTGGATTCTACGGCCGCTGCGATTCCGGAACTGGCATCGCTCCAAAGAGGCGAACTCATGCTGCTCCTGATCTCGTTGCCTCTCCACTGGCATCCTATTTCAATCCAATCTTAAGTTATTGTCCATGCTGCGTTGTCAAGTTCATTGTCTGTCGTCGACCTGCCACGCCCCCAATGTGTAATGCAAATATAGTTTCGATGCTACGGAATCCCTGTGAAATAGGAAAAAGAAACAGGAAATGAAAAAGTCCTAGGAAATATTATCGAACGGTATCGCCATCTATCGACTGCTTATTGAGTTGTCACCTGCACCTGGAAACTGTCACCCACACACACACAAGATCCCAATGGCGCACACAGGCTCGCACACATCCGCTGGGCATACATGCATTGCATACTTATGTGGGCCAAGGGGCTACATACTTTCCGCTCCGTTACTCACGACATTCTAGCACATTCACATGCATTTCTTGTTAAAACAATAGTGCTTATAATACAAAATATATTGAAAACAAATAAAAATGAATTAATACCAGCAATCACCAATCTTTAACCGTATAACGTATACTTTATTTTAGTTCCATAAAGGATCAAACTAAAATTATGAGAAAATATAATTACAAAGTCCAGGGGAACCCTCAGAACTCTATTACTTCAAGGTAGTTATCTAAAATTTCCACGTAAAGAGCTCACCAGGCTTAAAAGGACATATGGGAAAGGGAACTAGTTTATCATTTGAACTGATTTAGCTCAAAATTCCAACGAAGTGACCTGGTAATGGTCAGCTAAGTCAACTATGTGTGTAAGTGCATATGTCCATAAAAGCACCGCTCTCCGTGCTCCTAATCCACTTATACCAATTGCCATGAGCTGCTATTATGGCAACCGCGAGTGTTCCCATGGCCAAAAGAAATTTTGCACACGCACACACACGCAAACTACCACAAAATCATCAGGTGTGTCCATTTTGAGTTATCAGCACATGTGCAGCCAAAGCGCCCTAGGGTCAGGTATTTCGGAATATACATATATCATAAGGTAGGACGAGATCGGGAAGGAAGCTCTAGAAGGAAACAAGGCCTGAAGACAATAGCACACCACTTCGCAGCCCATAATCAACTCATAAACAGACTTGCCACTACCACCTACCACAAGACACACCTCATCCCCACGAAATAAATTCCAACTGAGGCGCAGTTCAGGGCCCACGCCCCTAGGGGGTGGAAAAAAATGAAGGAGGGAGGGAAAAAAATGCAAAAATGAATGAAATGAAAAACGTAAATGAATATTTTAAAAATCAAACAAAGACAGCCATAGAAAAGCACCCACATAAACCAACACATGCCCAATGTCTCAATGCTCTCTTTTTAACTATTTAACCTACATACATATATTCATAATAAAAGTCATTTAACAATAACAAACCTCTGCAATTACTTTCAAGTTTTTAAAAGACTTTTATGCACTTCTTTCGGGTCCGGTCGGGTCGAAAATTGTTTGTAAGCCCTTAAACAAGCCAGCACTCTTAGCCACTCAACACTGCACAAAAACACCGCCGCACGCAAACTGCTTCAGAAACACACTGAAAAGCTGGTAGGGATTACTGGCTGGCGATTCTGAGTCCGTTGCTGAAATTGTTGTCATCTCGGGCCCTCGACAGCATCTCGCATCCCTGACATGCGCACTAGCGCCCGACAACCCCAGTAGACTCGAGGAGGGGGTGGCTGCAATGCCACAAAAACGATACCATCCGATATTACGAAAAAAGAACCCCCCTATGATGCATTTTATGCATCCTTTTTTTGTTACTACCACATCGATATTTTTAAACGGAAAGTATAGTCCAAGTCGATTTTATAATATATGTATGTTAAGGTTAATATTCAGTTTTAAGCACCACACTAATATCTACAAAGATATTGGACCAAAATTCCGAATATAAAAAGATTTATAGAAACATCTTTAATAATTTCTATCTTGTTGTTTTGCAAATAATAAATATTATCCCATTTATAAAGCTGCAAGTCAAGTCGTCTATTGGTTGGATTTATTTAAAAACTAACTGCAAATTGGCTAACAACAAACACGTGCAAGGTATGGCGATAATATTAAAACCGTACTTCTGAACAAAAGGCTAACAAATTATGCCAGAACAGTTAACGCTAACAGATATCGAAATGCAATGGGTGGACCAGTAGGGACCCGGTCATCTTATCGGGCTAGTTGAACTTTGTCTTTGGGGCGCATATATAGAATATTTATATAGAGAACCTTTTCCGTTTCCAAATCCGTTTCAAATCGTCTTTTCTATTTTTTTCTAACATAAAAAGCCATTACTGCTTGCAACAAATTCTGGTTTTCAAAAAATTTCTTTTATAAAGCACAGATTAAAGATTACACGTAATTTAAATGCACTTGAAACAGTTTGAAACGGATGTAAAACGGAAACAGGCAAAGAGTAAATAATCCTACTGGGGATTGAGGATAGATTGTTTTGAGCTTTTCTCAAGGTTTTCAGGTCCCGCTGTCTAATCCGCCGGATAGCCAAAGCTTAAGTGGAGGTTACACCAGCGCCTGTGCTTGCCGCCTAAAGAGGACTCCTCCCGTCGCACGGCACCCAAAAACGGATGGTTTTCAAAGTCAAAGTTTTCTAAGTGCGATCGCAGATCGTCTGCCGCCATGGGAAACTGTTGACCGCTGGCCAACCCTATCTGCAGGCGAACGCACTGTTCTACGACGAACTTGAGGGCTGCACGGCGATGTAGCTCGAAACAGTCCCGTGGTCCGTACATTAATCGTTGCTCTGCACACAGCCGCATATCGTTGGCGGCCACATTGCAGCAGTAGAGGAATGATCTCAGCTTTTGGCTGCTAATGGAACTCCGGTCAACTCCGGGCAGGAGCAGCTCCAAGAGTTCATCGGCTTTGGGTTCGCATTTAAGGCCATAGTTGACCATTAGTTGTTGCAGACTGGCCAACGGAGATGAGCCACTGGCTACGGAGTCGTTGGGCAGGGTAAAGTTGAGCTCATAGGCGCGACCCAGGAGCACCTGGCGGTAATGATAGCAGCTGTAATCACTGATGTGCTTGCGCATAAACTTCTCCGTTCGAAGCAGTTCCGATTGGAGCAGGCATGGGCCACTTTGCAGGATCCACTGGCGGTGCGACCATGCGTGGTAGTTACTAGCGCACCTATCGGCGGCCCTTTCGCAGATCCCAATTTCATTGGGCCAATCGATAGCATCGGCACCTGACCAAATAAATATGTATATGTGATTAAGTTTGTCTCTTAAGTCTATATCACCCGATATCCACTTACTTTGGAAGGAGTACAGCCAACGACGGTAGGCAAATGCCTCGTTCGACTTGGGTTTTATAGACAGAACGAGGGCGGAAAATTGTAGCTCCTTGTTGATGCTCAGCCGGTTCTTTTGCACCAATTGTCGACGAATGTGCCAAAAGGTGGTCACATCTGGATTTATCAGCAAGGCTACATTCAGATATTTGGCAAGGGAGTCACTCTGCTGCTGTTGCTGGAGAGTCCGGAGCTGCTGGGCTGACGTCTGCCGACGGTGGGAGATAAGGGTCCGGTGGGCGTGGTCGTAAACATGCTGCGCACACCACGATTCCAGACCCAGATTATGCTCCACATGCACCACCGGGGACTTGTTGCAGTTTGTTTCCTTGGGTATGATCTCAAAGGAGGCTCTGTTAGGGGTACAGAAACACATATACAGAAATTAGGCAATGATTTATAAAGCGACCCAAGAACAAAGATTCGAATGACCTTATGACCTAAAGAGACTCTCTATAAGCCTAATACTATTGGTATTTTAATTCTATGGCAAATTTGGTTCCTGTATAAAGTAGAATAATGAACTTACAGATCCTGATCCTTGAGGAACACCGCGTTGATGTCCCTGATGATCTTCTCACAGAGCACCTTCTTCTCGTTGCGTTCCTCCTCCATGGATCTAGAAAATGGTCTGATGTGCAATTCCGATGTGGATGGTTCTTCGGGGATCTTGCTTCCGTTCCGTTCGATTCGAGAGTCTCAGGCACATTGATTGCTTCCAATTAATATTAACATGCTCAATGCCTCCGGTTAATTAAGAATTTGGGAGAAAGAGGTGAAGGAAGAAGATGTGCGGAGACTAGTACCCTGGCTCTACGACTGTGGAACCCCCAGCGGCGACCGCATCACAACAAATAAATTTCAATTAAGTCGGGACACGAGATCTAGCCTCTATTAAACTATTTTAGTGCCCAATGCGAGGGGCTGTCACTCAGGTTCTCCCCAAAGCGCGGTTCTCCAGCGGATCGCAAATTCGTAAATGTTTTTCTTTCTTTTGGTTCCCAACGAGCATATGTTTGTTTGCAAACATGTGTTTGCCTCTTTACGATAACACACACACCTGCCACGTCTATCGATAAGTGCTTGGCCACAGCATCATCATTTGGCGAAAAAAAAACCATGGTATAAAAGCTGTATTTAAGTTCAGATGAAGAATCTATAAACTGTGTTTTTTTCCAATCATTTGTGCATCACCCTATAGTTTTGAAAGCAATTTGTAGTTAACTACATAAAAAACGACCAACTATATATAAAATGATATTATTGCGAGTTGATGCCACCCACGCCACCAAATATATCTTGAAACCAGCCAGACTATCAGCACTGCTGAAATAACTGGTCACACTGATTATTCGTGGGTTTACTTTTGCTAAACACGTGCGCTTTTAAAAGAAAATTATTAGAATTAAGAAGCCAGGATGCAGAGCAACTTCCTCCCACTGAACACAAGACGGTTTCAGCAGCGGGCGCAAGTAGAGACCCCGGATTCTATCTACTGGGACCGATTGTCGGTGAGTTTTAAAAGATAAACCCCGGGCAACAGGATCATTATTTTTCGTTTTGGTCCATAGAAACCGGAAGTCCTTAAGGAGCACAACACCATCGACTATGTCGACTTTAGCCCCAGCGATCCGGACAATTTTGTGCTGACTTGTTCAGTGCGGGTGCAGATCTACAATCTGGTTACCAAGCTGGTGGTTAAGAATCTCTCGCGATTCCAGAAAACTGCCTACGGTGCCACCTTCCGACAGGATGGGCGACTTCTGGCCGCCGGCGACGAGGAGGGCCACGTCAAACTGTTCGATACAACCAGCCGGAATATCCTGCGTCTGTTCAAGGGACACAAAGCGCCAGTGCATCGCACCTTCTTCACGGCGGACAAACTGCAGCTGGCCAGTTTTGGCGACGACAAGGCGGTTCGTATGTGGGACGTAGCCAACGAGAAGGTGGTGCAGACCTACGAGGATGTGCACACCGATTATATTCGTGCCGGAGCCATGCATCCGCATGCAGCGCACATGTTCGTCTCGGGAGGATACGATGGCAAGATAAATCTCTACGATACCCGTGCGGAGACGGTGGTGCAGCGCACTTTAGATCATGGAGCTCCGGTGGAGTCCATGCTGTTCTTGCCCAACGGTTCCATCTTTGTCAGCGCCGGTGGAAATCAGGTTCGCGTTTGGGATCTTATCAGCGGTTGCCGGCTGCTAACCATGATGTCTCAACATCATAAAACAGTGACCTGTCTGCGGTTAGGTTCCGATGGAAGGAGGCTGTTCTCCGGCGGGCTTGATCGCCATGTCAAAATCTACGATGTGAGCACTTACAAGACTGTGCACACATTAACATATCCCAATGCCGTAGTCAGCATGGCTGTAGCTAGCGGGGATCAGGCTGTTGTGGCTGGAATGGTAGATGGTCTGGTCTCCATTCGTCGCATGATGGTGGATAACAAACCCAGCCATTTAAAAAAGATACGTTCGTCTCGAGCGCGCAAGCATTACACGGAACGAGTACGATTAAACAATACCCAGAAAGTGGATCATACCATCAAAGACCGAGTAAAAGGACCTGGATTGAAAGCCTATGATGTACATCTGCGCCGGTTTGACCATAAGAAAGCTTTGGACGACGTGATGTTAGCGCAGAAAATAGAAAACAAGCCCGAGCTCGTGGTGGCTGTCATTTCGGACCTGTTGCATCGACGAGCTCTGGACAAATCTCTAACTGATCGCCCCGACACCGTGCTCGTCAATTTTATCGACTTTGTGTGCACCCATTTGGGTGAGACGCGATTCATGCGTCCGCTTATGATGGCCGCCAGCACAGTCTTGGATGTCTTTGAGCAGCAACTGGTAGCTTGCAGTCAGCAGCTAATGGAGGCCCTGGAACGATTGTCATCCGCTGTCCAGGAGGAAGTTAAACTGACTGTCGAGCTGATGCGATTAAAGGGAGCTATGGACATGCTTATTGGTATTTCAATGGACAATGGCGAGGTGACTCGTAAATCCACCTATGTGGAAACTAAGGTACAGAAAATGCAGCCCTCTTCGGCGGCGGAGAAGTACATCGTCATGGTGGAGTGACCCAAAACCTGGCCATTCAATGATCTACGCAAATAGTTTAAGCAAAAAATCAATAAAATTAGTATAGGCTACTAGGTGAAAAAGTCATACCTAAAACATAATTTTTGTTGCTACTTTAGATTGTTTTATAATTATCTTAGAACGCTGTAGGTTAAGTGTATTTTTTTTACTTTTAAGATATAAAGAGAAGCAATTTTACGTAGACAAAATTAAATATGTAAAGAAAAACAAAAACCTTTGCTATCATTGGGTCTTATGGTCTATATAAAATATGTTGTGGTGTACCCCAAAGAATATTTCATATCTCCAAGTCTCAAATAAGCACTTTTTAAACAATATGCATGTATATATCGTTCTTTATTAAATACATACTTAAAATGAACATTTTGTCGTGCATGCCAATTTCCGTTTTAAAATGTACATTGAAATTTTGTCTGCCGTTGTACGAATAAAAAAACTGATAATGGAGCCAGCAAAACAGTTGCCCTCGAACTAACTTGTTTCTTTTTGTTTTACATTAATGTATATTTTTATTTCAATATTGCAATATTTTCGATTTTTGTTTTCCAACTACTGGATTTAGCTTTTGTTTTTTGTTTTTAATTTAGATTTTTTTAAATTTATATTTACGTTATTTTACGATTATTTGGAAAGACGAATTTACACTTAGAATTTGCTCATCTTCGACGCATCGTTCTGTATTTTCTGCTTAAGCTAAACTCTCGCGCTAATTTTAATATATATCTTTATATTTATGTTTAATTATATTTATATGTATTTATAGGTATATATATATATATCTATTCTGCTCGACATCGCACACTTTGTCTTGCCGTTTCTTTTACTTTTCGCTTACAAGATAAGGAGAAAAAAATATAACATACTACAGATTGGTTAAATTAAAATAAGAATACAATTAGGCGTCTTAACTAGTTTACATTTTAGGCGTGTGTGTGGAGTGTGTGTGCGGGTTGTGGGTATTGGGTGGTTTTTGTTTGGAAGGTTTTGAAGCCACTACATGTACAAATTACAAATAATATTCATATACAAAATAGATATTGCCTTTACATTTTACACTCTTCGGTACTGGTTTCTTCCCAATTGTATTCAACTGCAGTTTCCAAGACTCTGTACAAGATACACGACTTTAGGCAGGAGGATTTGGTAAGAATACTACACACTACATAGAAGACGAATGGGGCCTAAGCATCTGAATTTTCTTGCAACGAAACGGTAACCATGAATACAAGGATTTGTTTTGCAAGTCCGCTTTACGTTTATACGTGTAATATATATATGCGTATGGATGATGGGCGCCTGTTCAATTTTTTTCGGCGTTGCAAACGAACAAGGTTTTGGGCCATTACCTTTCATTCTGGAGCTCCGTCCAATTTTGTCCTAACCAGGTCAAAATGAACTGGCTGTAAGTGCGGGATGTGTGCTTGATGGATGCGGATACGGAAATGTGTGTGGCGGGTGGCGAGTGGCGTGTGAGGGCTTAGATGGGGATATAATGTTTGCTGCATGCATTATTCCAGAAAGGGTGTGCGTATGGGGGATATTTCTGTCTTAGCCATCTTCCTTGGGTGGTGTGAACCAGCCTGTGAAAAGAAAATACTCATTTTAAAATGGTTTCTCTTATTAGGCTATATATAATATAATTTGATCTTACCATTCTTTTCGTGAATCTGCACCAGAGATTTGAAGCTCTGCTGGGCTCGAGCCAAACTATATTGACCCTGGGTCAGTGCCTATTTATTATAGAAGATGGTTATAACAATATTTAAATTTCATTGATTTTACTTACTTTGGTGGCCCCAAACTGGATGCGCGCCTTTCCCTTGACGAGGGTGGCTGCAATTTGCATGATAACAGCTTCGACGGTGTAAGCCGAGCTCCAGCCCTGTTTGGTCAGCAATTCCATGCAGATGGCACCGCCGATGAGCACGTAGCCTCCTAGTAAATTTAAACAACATTTAAAATAAAGCCCACAAATTACTGTCTTCTACTAATCCCACCTGAAATGATCGGATGGACGACGCGCACAAAGGGGGGCTCGAAGGGATACGTTTCCTTGAAAAGGATATTGAGCAGAATACTGTCCTTGCCCTCCTTCTCTTTGAGCATTAACAGATCACTGTGCAGCGGACTGTCCGGATCGACAGACTTGAGGCGTATGTTCCACTCGTAAATCGACTCGTTGACGAGCTCAATAGAATACATGTTCTTTTTGAAGGCGTCCGATCGATAAATATCACGTAGTTCCTTCATTAAGCGATCGGTTGCCTGCACGGAACCCGAAACGGAACCCTAAAATCGAAAAAAGACCCTCATATGACAAATTTCATTATCTCACCAAGTATCAATGAACTCACTTTAAGATAGTCTTGTCTTTGACTTTGACGCAGTCTTTCTAGAGTTGCTAGGTGTTCCACTTCCATGTCGTCCTTCTGCAATCAATAATATAATAATATTAATCAATATAGCACAAACACTTATAATCGGAATTAAAGTTTCACAGGTCGAAAACTAGTTGACATTTTAGCGATTCCCTCAAGATACATATATAATCATTTAGTCGAATTAAAGTGAATTCTCCCATAGCAATTACGGTACAAATTCGATAGTAATTGCAGCTGTGTATGAACTCAATTTCGAGTGCAACAAATATAATTACTTGATCAATTTAAACGCAATTTGCATCAAATGTTATTTCCACCTTACGGACTAGCAGATGTCACGGTAATAAAGACAAAATGTTTTCAAATATTGGAAAGGTTGCATGGACAAAATAAATTTCCAGGCAATCAAAGAATTAGATAAAAGAAAAGAGGTTTGAAAAGCTCAGTTGAAACATTATGAATCTCTAGAAATTGCGACCAGCTCTCTGGAAAACTCTCAGGAAAGAGGGTTTATCCGCATATCCTGCAGTTATAGCTCACCTTGTTTGTACTTCGTACATCATCCATTTCCAGCGGCAAGTCTTCATCACCCTCGCTCTCCTGTTCGCTCTCGCCGATAGGATCTTCTATCTCCTCCTGATCCGAATCTGTCTCCTCGTTGCCGTGCGGACCTCCACCGCCCCCCGCTCCACCACCTCCTGGCCTCTGCTCGCAGCGGAGTGGAGAAGCGGATGGCGGCGGCGTTTGCAGCGGCAGGGCCAAATTATCGATGTCGGGTGGCAGTGGAACGTTGTGTAGTCGGCACAGCTCACGCAGAAGTATGCCCACCTGCATGATATCGGATTTAAGTTGTTATTTTACTTATTTAATGTATATGCTTAGAAGGTCTCACCTGATTAATCACGTGATTATCACGTCCATTTGTATTGCTAAGTATTTGAACAGCATTTGTGACGCTCGTCTCCTCGCTTTCGGCAAACCAAACTGGCGGCGATGACGGATACGTTTCCTGCAGGAAAGATCCGAAAACATAAGCATTTGTTTATCAGGTTTGAAGTTCATAAAGCTAACGAAAGATTTCGTTAATGACCTTTTAGATTAGAGAAAATATCGCCAAAGATAATCAGACCTGTTGCCGATTCTGAAATCAATAAAACCCAAACTTATATAGCCTGACTTCTCCATACCTATGCAATATTATAATTATTAATTTTTCCAACATGAATTTTATATATTACTAGATTATCTTGTTTCTCAAGAGTAGCTATAAATGAACCTCGGTACGTTTTATCGGGAATCTACTGCATTTCTAGACAAAGGGGATGGGCCTTGCGAATCGCGTGTGTGGGGTGGGTCAAGGACTTTGACTTTGCACTCGACAATTGGACACAGACAGAAGATCTGTCTTATTTCCATTCTCGTTCTCGCTTTTTGCCGTTCTCAGGTGAAATTGTCGTCGTCGTTGAGGCTACTTTGCATGAACATGTAAATAAACAAATAATAAACGACAGAGAACCGAACCCGACAGCAAGTACAAAATTATGACTTTTAATTAGATCGTTGAACCAAGCGGGGATCAGTGCACAGAACACAGAAAACAGATGGAACAGCTTGGTAGCCGATGAATCACACCTGATCGAGGGTGTCAGTTTATATCGAAAGGTAGAGGATATCAATTGCGAATCAATGAAAAAGTTTATGCAACAAAATTGTTCCTAAACGAGAACTAAAAGGAAAATTCCCAGCTAAGAAAGGTTTCTTCATGTCAAATGATTTTATAAAATAGCGATAAATATTATACGTTATATCAGCCGACTATATCCTCCAGCGGCCATTGAAAATATCGGTCTAAATTGGCCAAAAACCAGAAGATCACAAAGAGAACAGGCACAAGAGAGCAGCCAAAGGGCATCGACTACTACACATGTATATATATAATATATGTATATATATACATTTATCCCATCTCAACTGAGCAGCGTGGGAATAAAGAATCTGCACAAATCTTCACATATATAAGCACGCATGAGCGGGAAAGAGACAGAAGTTAAAACGATAAAGTAAAATTGAAGAAAGAAGTAGAATCAGAAACCTGACAAGGATAGCAATATATCAAGGAAGAAAGGAGAAATTGAAAGGGCTGGAAGGCATGAAAAAATTAGGATGGTACACAGAGATAAACTTGAAATAGGATAATTTCCTGAATCATACTAAACTTAAATTACGAAAATTTCTTTATAAAGTTTATATTAAAGATAGTAAACTTGTTGGAAGCAGTGAAGCTGCTATATAATCATAATCTTGCTTAGCAATCCAACTCAACTACTAGAAAAATGTTAGTTAATATATATGTATATATATATTTTTTTTTATATTAATATTAAAATACGATTAATAACGATTAACTTCAGGCCTTAACAGTCACAGGGCACTGCTACATTTATATTTACATATAGAAGCCTTTACAATCACAGTATAAATAAATTTATCGTCCCAGAGCATAAAATGGTAAAGTGGAGTAGACAAAAGTGCAATACAAGTGCCGGGTCTAACATAGGAACCTAGAACTCAAATTCCCCGCCCCCAACTCCTAATCATTTGTCAATACCGAGCTATCGCAGCACTACTCCAACACCAATTTACAAATCTATCGATAACGACAAATGAAGATGATAAGAAAAAGGCTCCCACCTCACTTAAATGTAATATTCTTGTGTACAATTGGGAGCTTTGTGCAAAAAAAATATTTGAAATTTTTGCGTCAGATTCATGGCCAAAATAGTTTAAAATCCACTAGCAAGCTTATTAAATTTGCATTTCTATTCATAAATTATGAGTCATAGCTAAACAACATAAGTTCTGCTCTTGATGGAAAGTTGTGTAGTATTTTTACAACCAATATAGGACAAAATAATTTAAAATTATTAATTCCTAATTGAAGAATCAACACATGAGGACATTGTTAAAAACAAAAAGGTAAGTAGGAAAGTTTGATACCGTTTTAAATTAGCCCTATCAATCCAGCTTTTTGTTGTGTAGGAAAATTGTAGGCGACTCACCGTTATGTTGGCATGGATATCGTAGCGCTTTCCATTCTTATCGATAAACCGGCACAGAAGTTCATCGACGCTGGAATTGAGGATCTGAAAGCGCTCGTGATTCTTCGGGAAAATCTTCTCCAGCGTTTTGATTTCCTGCTTCAAGGTGTTAAGGCACGCCATCTTGTGGCGGGCTTAGAAGGCAACGAGTCTGGGTTTTTTTTTACTTTACTGTTATTAATATTTTCGTGGTCCAAATGAAGTTTTGAGGGAGCTAACTCCCCCCTCTCTTTTGCTGTTCCTTTTCAACTTCCAGGCGAAGAGAGATTGTATTTTTTTTAAATCTTTTTGCTCCTTTACTCTTTATTCGGTTTCTTTTTCTCTGTCAGCTGCTGATTTTACTCGCGACACTAGATGGCGCTTTTCCCTTTTCAAGTGATTTGCTCCGATTTAAATTTTTTATTGAGTTGATGTTCCCTTGTCTTTGTTTTTACTTTTGTTTATTTTGTTATTGTGCTTGCTAAACTGACGTTTGCTTTTATTTGGAGGTAGATTTAAAAGGCGACTTGTTTTGAGTCGCCTGGTTGTTCTTTGTTGTTTTCTCTGGCTCTCTTCTCGCTTTCCTCTATCCACTCCACTTCCAGTTAACTTCACTCTCACTGCTTCTTCTTCTTCAGCTCCTGCGGCGCCCAGCATGCGCTGTCTCGCTCACACTCTACTTTTTTGGCGTTCAATTTTGCACTTTGATTTTCCCGACTTATTACCGTTTTTTCTTGGTTAACTTTTTCAGTTCTCTTATTTTATGTTTGTTTGTTGGTTATCCTGGGCTTTTAGGCTGTAATTCGAGTTTTAAACACGTGTTTCACTTTTCTTGTTATAAACTTATAAATTATTATTGTTGTTGCTGCTAGCTAGCCAAAACAAAAACAACAAACGGCAGTTGGCCTACACACACACACATGCACCGCAGACAAAACCTGAGACACACACTTGTGCAAAATGCTAGCTCTCTTGCTCGCGCAGCAGGTCTTGCCTACGCAACGATCGGAACTCATCGAAAAACCGATTGGAAATTGGCAAAATAAAAAAAATAAACCAAATTTTGCGTTTATCTATTATCCCACCTTTCTTCTTCTTCGTTTTCTGCTTCGTTTGTTATTTTCGTGTGCTCGCACAAGGAAATCTTTACTCAGAAAAAGCTCGCGATGACAGAAAAATGGAGACAGATGAAGAAAAACCATGACAAAGAGGAAAGTGTTAAATATGGGCAATCGGAAATCGAAAACTGATACAATTTTTTTGCCGAGGCTCCACTGTGCACAGCTGCATAACTGTTTTCCCTCTTCCCCTTTCCTTTGCCATCCTTCTCCTGTTTCCCATCTCCCCTCTTTCCCCTCTCTTTAGTCTACGCTTCAGCATTGCATACACACAAACACATTGGCATACACTGGCACACTCGCACACACACAAACGCAGCCTGCAACTTGGCTTTTAATCATTTATCAATATTTAAGCGACAAAAGCGAAAAACTAACTGTGTACGGAGCCCCAAGAACAAATCCTTTGTTTGCACGGAACACGGACAACTGAAAGAAACACAGACACATTGAAAAACGTCCACAAAAAACAGCAACTCTTCTTGCACTCACACACGTACATTTGTGTAAATATGCATGGAATTGTAAGCGAAACAGCAACGAAGAAAATTCTTCAGGAAAACGACAACAAAAAGAACAGTAAAACAACAAAATAATACACGCACACAGCAGCGAAAATTGTGACACGGAGAATTAAACTCAGGTCCACGCACGTCCGCCCGCTTTACCTTTTTACCAACAACAAACGGTGGGGGTGGAACAAAACCGATTTCTTCGATAGCATTGATTTTCATTTATCGCACCACCAATGCGAGCAAAATACCCTAGCCGTGAAACCGCTATCGACGAATCATTTTGAGAATAAAAATTTGTAGGGTCACACTATAGGCGGGAGATTTGACTTGACTTCCAATTTAAAGAAATCGTAAAATTCGTCTTTTGTGTTGAATTCCTTGAGTATTGCTGCCATTTTATATTTTTAGGCAAGTTAAAAGGCCAGTCCGAGTACAATACAATACAAACTTTATTCGATTCTCTATCGATATTTACGATTTTAGATTTATTGCGATCTTAACTCAGCTCCCCGCCCAATTCGTTTTGCTACTTTCGCTACAATAGATCAATAAGATATAGTGGATACATAGAGGGAACCTTGTGAGTACTTCTTCAAGTCTTGTATTTCCTATGCGGAATGGTGTGGAAATGGAAAATGGTTTTTACATTTAGTTTCGTTTCGGTTTACATTATTTTGTGATTTTTTGTTTTAGATTAGAAGTAGCATAATTTATCCCCAACTTTAGCTAAAAAAATCATAGAAATTAAGACGCCCCCGCTTCGTGGCCATTTGCCGTCTTTCCCCCCTTTTTAAACCCCCATTTGAATCCTCCTTCGAATCCTAAGACAGGCACTTGGCTTCCTGCTGCTCCGGATGCTCTTAATTCTCCTAATCGGGTCCCTTAGAGTTCACTGTGTGGTGTCTTTGCTTCTTGCTCTGAGGGCGTTGGAGTAATCTCCTCAATAGGTTCCTGTGCTTCCTCTTTTTCAGGCTGCTCCTGCTGCTCCTCGGCCTCCTCCGCTTTGGTGCCATCGCCACTGCCAGAGGTCACTACCTCCTCCTCCTTCTTCTTATCCTTGTCAGCAGTTGGCTTGACCTTGGGCTTCCAGATCTTAATCTTGTTTACCAAATACTTAACCTCGCGATCCAGTAGACTCATTTTGTCCGTAATATCCTTAACAGTCAGGCGAATATCTACATTCTTGGCCAACTTTTTTTGTGCGGCAGTCTCTGTTTTTAGCCAAGCATTGGTTTCGGTTATGACCTTATCCAGCGTATCGATCTCAACTTGAGTGAAGACATCCTTTTCGGGATTAGTGTCCTTGGTAAGATTGCGTCCGGTGACCAGGAACTTTTCGGCGCCATCGATCATTCCTTTGAGTGCCTTTATAGCCTCTGGTCGCTCCTCATGCTCCCAGTGACGGGCCAAAAATACATTGGATAGCTTCTTCAGTTGTGCCAGTTTTTCCTCGTAGATTTCCGCCTTGGGATCTTCCAGATCCTCGTACAGCCATTCACCCAAAGTGCTGCATTCCGCCAGGAGTTTTTCCTTTTCCTCATCAGTTGCACACTTGGCATAGGAATCTTCGTCCAATTTCTGTTGTACCTCAATAATATGGGCTTCAAGGGCATTAAAAGCTGATTCCAATCGAACGCGTTGCTCCTCAGCCTTGTTAATAGCGGCCAGCTTAGCAACAGAGATATCATAACTGGAACCGGCCAAAGGATTAGTAAACTGCGTCTGAGACTCATAGGTTACAGGGGATTTGACAGTCACTAGCTTGATGGTGTCGTTTTTGGCTTCAGTCTCCTGTTTGTTGGTCTCTTCAGACTTTTGCTCTTTACTGTTGGCTTCCTCTTCCTTGGGCTTTTCAGTCTCCTCCGTTTTTGTTGGTTCTTCACCAGCATTAGCTGATTCCTCTCCCTGCTCCGAATCCTCCTTTTCCTTTTTCTCCTCGCCATCCTTGGTAAACAATTTACTCAAAGTGCTGCCCAACTTGGAGAGTGTGCTATCATCATCCGAATCTTCCTCGGGCTTTTGTTTCTCATACACATACTCTACACCCGTGCAGCGGAAAATGCCAGAGTCATCCAGGTAGAAGTAGGCCTTGATACCCTTGTTGTCCACCAATTCCTTCTTTGATTTCTCCAGCAGTTCCTTTACTTGCTTGAGCTGCACCTTGGTCACATTCAAGCTGCCCAAAGCGGCAATCTCCTCCTTGCTATAACGATCTAAATCAGCGTAGTTCACATAAAACTCAAAGTCGTCTGTGTGCTTGTTAAAGGTAATGACCTTCTTCTGGGGATAGGGGTTCATGAGGGCAAATAGGGCGCGTTTCACTTGTTTCACAGCGGCTCCATCTCCAGGATCCCGTTCGAAAGCCACTTGCAGGGGGAACAGCGTGGCATCCTTGACAACAAACTTCTTCACTTTGAAGCCGGCGGACAAATCGGCTGCCTTATAGACTGCACCCATAGAAGCGGATTCATCGGCATTTAGATTCTTTCCCAACTCCTGCTTAATGAGGGCCTTGATAGTCTCCTGGACACGTGGAACTCGAGTACCGCCTCCAAACAATATCACCTGGTTGATAACATCTAAACTGAGGTGCGAAGATGCCAAAGCCTGCTCCAATGGCTTGGTGGCCCTGGGCCAAAGATCCTCGCAGATCTGTTCCAACTTCTCACGAGTAACGGCCAATTTAAAGTCAATGTCCTCCAGTAGGTTCTCAATTTGGGCATAGAACTCCGTATTGGCAGACAGGACATTCTTCAAGCGTCCGGCTTCCTTGAAAAGTTTGGCCAGAGCTTTAGGACTGGTGGTTACATCGGTCTTGGTCTTCTTCAAGGCATTAAACTCTTGTGCAAGGTAGTCACGCAGTCTTAACTGAATCTCCAGGCCACCCAGAGTGCGGTCGTAACCAACGCCAAGAACCTGGACCACAGGGTTGATTTCCCTTGTTTGTTTGTCCTTCACAAGCTGATAGCTAACTACAGCCGCTGAGGTTTTATAGGCACCCATGTCGTAGAAGAGGAAATACTGAGCTGTTTCGTTGATCTCGCCGCGATGGAAGACACCGTAGTTAAGTGCCACTGCTGCATAATCGTTGATCAGTTGGAGCACCTTGAGATTAGCCAATTGGGCGGCCGATAACAGGGCTTCTCTTTCCGCTTGACCAAAATAACCGGGAACGGTTAAAACGCACTCGGTGATCGGTTGTTGCACGGATTCCTGGGCAAATTGTTTTGCCTTAACCAGCATTTGGGCAACTAACTCCTCCACGGAGAACTCCTCGGTGTCGCTTTTGCGGAAGATCACGGTATTGCGTTCCGGATCGCCCACAATGTTGTAGTATGGAAAACGCTTTCTAAATAAAAAAAAATAGATTTCGAGATAAGTCATTAATTCGCAGCAATGACGTGGCCCAAAATAACCCAACTCACCTATACAAATCGACAATGGGATTATCTATGGTCTTGCCAAGCAAGTCCAAAAGATAGCCATAAGCCGAGTTCGGATCCTTGATTCCAATGGTCTGGGCATCTTCGCCAATAGTTCGCACTCCATCACGGAAGGCCAGGATTGCAGGAGTCTTGCGCTTAGACTCGCGGTTCAGGGCAATTTCCATGGGCACTCCGGGCGACACGACGCCCACTTTCATCCACTCGGTGCCCAAATCCACGGACATCACGGCGGCTCCCTGGGAAAGGGCAATCCCCGCCAGCAGGGCGCTCAGTAGGAGCAGGATTTTCATGGTCTGCGGAAGTCACAAAATATGTGAATAACTATATTAAATATACCTTTTCACATCTCACAACAACAAATAGAGCTAAAATAACTACCGTGAAAGTATGGCTTACAAATATGTAGAAACTGGTAGATCTTTCTGGACCCAAGTACCACTGGTAGATCTTTCCAGAACTAAAACTCTTATTGGAATCTATCTTTGTAATCGAATTTCTTCGTGCCTTAAGATATACAAATGACAATAACATAAATAATATTTCAATAGGATTATACTTGTACGTTCACCTAACTTTTTTGTACTACTAAAATATTTGACAAAGTGCACTTTATAAATTACAAGCTATACTGTACCTGTACATACAATGACAACCTGGCAGTGTATTTAAATTACATATCAATATTAAATTTATATATTTTATTCGAACTGGTTCAATATGTTTCCATATCAGCAGGTAACCCCTTAAATACACCCACAAATTGACTTGTACACATTTATTACATATATTAAATGTTGCTTAATTGGACATCACTGGTATTACTTCGATTTTCATACATATTTTAAAGAACTAAGCACTAAACTTGGAATGATCCCTCAGAAGTAATGCTCATGTGGCAAACGAAAAAAGTACATAGATCATTTATTGTTAATTAAGTAGAGTTTACCGGTGGTATTAATTAGGAGTAACACCTTTTGTGGAGTTTTTGATGAAAATTGGCAAAAAGAGCAATAACCTTTTTTACTTCCACATTTCTTCCGCAATTCTTTCTCTTTCACTTATTTTTTCCGCTTTTTGCAACGCAAGCAGCTGTCTGTGCCCCCGCCCCTTCCCTCTTCCATATACAACCCTTCCAGCGAAGTACCGCTTTCCACTTACGTGTCCCGTTTTGTTGGTCGTTTCCAGCTGTCCTTCGCCACTTTCCACTCGCCAATCGACTTTTATTCAGCAAAGCAAATAATTATTAATTATTCAATTCACAACGTCGAGTGCGATTTGATTTGTGGAGAATAAAAAAACACAGTCGCCGCGATGACGAAGAAGAAGAAAATCACAAGCAGCGGCACGCGAAGAAGAGGAAGAAAGCGTTGACGTGTTGATTCCGCCGGCCGATAACAATCGATAATGTCATCATAGGGTTCGACACTTGGATAAACAGTGTTGCAAAGGCCGCGAAGAACAGGGCGCGCGAATTTAAATTCAAAATGTTAAGCTTTAACGAATAAAAAGCAAAGTATTAAATCAAAATATATATGGGTTAAACTTAATATATAATTAGATTTTTCAAGAAGAGATATTCTTTATTACTAAAATATATAGGAAATGCAGAATTATTTTACATATATTTTTTACCTGAATTGGCCAAAACCAGAAAAGTTATAGCGATAAGAAATATAATTTTTACAAGTATTTAGTTTGCAAATAAATATTTTTTTTATTTGAAGCAGCTTTTCAACCCACATATTGACAGCTCAGCATTCCATCAATGACCGAGTTTTAAAACGAAAGTGCTGACACATAAATATACTAATTACTGTGCATACCCTTTTTTCTTCGAGTTGTTTGGACTTTAAGTAAGTTGTGGTTAAACTCAAATACTCATGTATCTTTAAAATAAATCTTAAAACAATAAAATTTTAAGACATAAGAAAAATTAATTAATAAGACAGCTAGAAAAGTTGAAAAAAGAAAATTTCTTATAAATTTGAAGGGTATTAAAAAGTCATAACAAGCTTTCCCATCACAACGCCGACTCAACTATTCGCAATAAAAATAAAGGTGACTGGAAAACGATCGAATCTGGCGAATTTAAATGGAACCGCTCCAAATGCAGAATGGCACAAAGTGAACCCATCGAGTATCCAACTCACCAACTGTCGTCAGTTGCGCAATATTCTTGGTGGATTCGAAAATTTCGCTGATCTGTTTTTCTCTTGGCCATATAAAACCCGTCCCGTTTTTCGAAACTCTAGTCAAGATTCAGTGAGCAATGTGTGGACGACGACTGTTGAACCTGGTGACCATCGGTTGCCTTTTGGCCACCGCTCTATCGCTTCCGGCCACCGCGAATGAGGAGTTCGACGAGGGTCTGCCTGAGTCAGAGTTCGACTACGAGGAGAGGCACACTCGGGAAATTCCATCACAGGCCTATGCCGCTCCGGTCGTTTACAATTCGCAGTCCAGCTATTCGGCGCCGAAGGACCAAGGATACTCTGCTCCTGCTGCACCGGTTTATTCAGCGCCTGCAGCTCCAGCCCCATCGTACTCAGCACCTGCGTCGCCTAGCTATTCTGCCCCCGCTGCCGCATCGTATTCCGCACCTGCAGCTCCCTCGTATTCAGCGCCTGCTGCTCCATCTTATTCAGCGCCTGCTGCCCCTTCGTATTCAGCTCCTGCTGCCCCATCGTATTCGGCACCTGCAGCTCCATCTTATTCAGCGCCTGCTGCCCCATCGTATTCAGCTCCTGCTGCCCCATCGTATTCGGCACCTGCAGCTCCATCTTATTCAGCACCTGCAGCTCCTTCATATTCAGCTCCTGCTGCCCCATCCTATTCGGCACCTGCTGCTCCATCTTATTCAGCGCCTGCTGCCCCATCGTATTCTGCTCCTGCTGCTCCTTCATATTCAGCTCCTGCTGCCCCATCGTATTCGGCACCTGCTGCTCCATCTTATTCAGCGCCTGCTGCCCCATCGTATTCGGCGCCTGCTGCTCCATCATATTCAGCTCCTGCTGCTCCATCATATTCAGCTCCTGCTGCCCCATCGTATTCTGCTCCTGCTGCTCCTTCATATTCAGCTCCTGCAGCCCCATCGTACTCAGCACCTGCAGGTCCTTCATATTCCGCGCCTGCTGCTCCCTCGTACTCGGCACCTGCAGCTCCCTCGTATTCAGCGCCTGCTGCACCATCATATTCAGCTCCAGCAGCTCCATCGTATTCAGCACCAGCATCGCCCAGCTATTCTGCCCCTACTGCCCCCTCGTATTCAGCGGCAAAGGCTTCATCGTACTCAGCTCCAGTTGCTCCAAGCTATTCGGCACCTGCATCATCATCATATTCAGCTTCTCCTGCCCCAAGTTATTCAGCACCCAAGGCTCCTTCTTACTCGGCTCCTGCTGCTCCCTCATATTCAGCACCTGCTGCACCATCTTATTCGGCACCAAAGGCTCAGTCATACTCCGCGCCAACATATTCAGCTCCTGCATCTTCTGGATATTCATCAGCACGTGCTTATTCTGCGGGCTCAGCAGCACCAGCATCCTCTGGATATTCAGTGCCAGCATCATCTGGATATGCAGCACCAAAGGCCTCCGCTGCTTTATCGTATTCAGCACCGGCATCGTCTGGATCACCCGCTGCTTCATCGTATTCAGCACCTGCATCGTCATCGGGATATTCAGCATCTAAGTCCTCTGCTGCATCTTCTGGTTATTCTGCTCCTGCCTCGAAATCATCGGGTTATGCTCGCATGTATATGGATGAAATCCTCGGTATGGCAAGGACAGCTGGTGGCTACGGATCTGCTGCACCCTCTCCAGCCTACGGAGGAGCTTCGGTCCCCTCTCCGCCGTGCCCCAAAAACTATGTATTCAGCTGTGCGAGCGTATTTACTCCAGCGCCCTGCAGTCAGGGATACGGATACTAGATGTCCAGGCAAGACCACTGACCAATTCGATTCGATTTCGAACTTAATAAAATGTATAAAAGAAAAACAACGTTGATCTTTTTATGGATAGTTTCATTCCATAGTTACGGCACAACACTAAAATGATATTAACTATATGATTACCAAAGAAGAGAAACAAAATGACCTGCTTTTCTTAGAATTTATTTGCAAATTGTTCACTTATGACCTTCGCTAATGAATTATCACACTAAAAGCAACTCATAATAAATACGTACGACTAGGCTCTGTATATTTAGTTCATATGTTTGTCATTTGTCATCCAATACATGGTTACTTGCACTCACATTGTGAGCTGTTATTTCTCTGTTGCGGTCTATATATTCCATTAAAAAGCACTTATGTATCCTTAAACTCCTCTACATGTATGTATATACTAAATATATATATATATATAATCTCTATGAAGTTAAATCATTTGGAACATTCAAATTAAAAACGAAAGTGTGACTTCAATTCATTGATAGGAAATCAAGTCAATATCGTTTTTTATATATAATACGTAGGTATGTATGTATGTATGTAATGTGTATGTGCTAGAGAGACTGGTCCATAGATTAAGAGGTATTATTCAGTTGGCAAATCATAAATGGCCCATTATATATACTTCTGTTCCCCCAATTCGATCGATCTGTTTAAGGGATAAGCAAAGAAAAGGCTTATAATAATAATCGCAAAATATCATTTAGAATATAGGAAGTCTTGGCATATTTTCCACTGTCTAGAGATCCCACTAAAGTCTACTAACTACCATAATGAATCCGTCGTACTAAAAACCACAAATCTTTTTTGCGAAGGCCAAAAATCAAGAGTCGTTGAACGAGTGCGGCATTGGCGAAATAAAAACTGAAAACTTGAAGCCCCAAAAACCGAAAGAAAAAAACTAAGCCGAAAGCTAAAGCCAAAGACCCATCTAAAACACGGAGAGCGTCGCTCCAAAAAGTTGGCATTCAAAGCGAAAATACACAGAAATTCAGTCAGCGGAATGCAGTCAACGGAACAGTTTCGAGTGTGTGTTCGTTGATCGTTTTGCTTTCAATAAATTTGACCCCCAAATTTGTATAAACAAAACAAAGCCAGCCAGCGGCTTAACCCTGGGCTAGGTCAACAGCAGACAAATTTTCGGCTCGCAGCTATGACGATGATCTCACAGGCGCACGCAGCGCAGATATTGGGCAATTGTTATCGATAATGGCCATCGAAATGGGCCAAGAGCAAAGGCACAAAAGAAATTCGATAAAAAAATTAAAGGAGTTTCAAAATTTCGAATTAAAATATAAAAGGAAAATGAATCTCAAGTTCTAGAATCCAGGAAAAAACATAAACAAATCGATAGCAAATACATTTATCGATGTAAATCAAATGGAAATGGAAAAGTCATATCACAAAAGCTATGTCTAAAGATGCATATCAAACCAAAAACCAACCATCTACAAGAACCAAAGAAACAAAATGAAAACTTTTTGTAATATTTTTTTGTATAATTTATTTTGCCTTTGTTGCATAGCTTTGAATGCTTAATAGTTGGCCTGCGACACGATCAATAGGGGATCGGGCAGAACACTATATATGTATGTATATATTGGTTTAACTATGTAGTGTGTGTATATGTAGGAATATTAACTAAAATGGAAATACATATGGATAATGTTCACTAAACGTGTACGTACATAGGCTAAGTAATTCTTCTAGTTGAAAACGCACAATAATTACATTATCATAATAATTACATATCAAAAATAATCATATCAAAAAAACTTAAGCCTTAAAAACAAATTGTGTGAATTGGGGACAACAGTAGAAGAAGGTGATCGGTGATCGGTGATCGATGATCAATGATCTGCTCTCAATCTCCCTCACTCTTTACAGATTCTTTGAGTCTTTGACTTTCCCGCCCTTTAAGGTATCGAAATACTATAGCCTATCAAAAGGTATATCATATATAGTTTTACCGTTGGGGGAACAGATTGTTTTGTGGTCTGGTTTCTTTTGGGCCGTAAGACGCGAACGAAAACAAAAGCGAGAAACGTCAAACGAAAACGAAAGCTTAGGCGAGGCGAGGCAACTTATAGAAAATTAAAAAAAAAAAACATATATATATATCTTCAAATATATATATAGATATATGTATGTATAAAATCAATGAAAGCCAAGCGAGCGAAAGTCGAGAGATTCTCTCTTTCGCCTCTCTCTCGCTAAAAGAAAGTACTGCTCGCATTTTCTTCTACACAATTAGCTTTGTTTTTGTTTTTACTAATACTAAATGTTCATTTTACACATAGATCATAATATTCATGATTTTATGCCTGGTATATGTATATTTTTGTAGTACTTAATGTTTTGCTTTTTTCTTGTTTTTTTTTTCCTTTTTAATGCTAACTTTTTGTGGTTTCTTTTTGTTTAGCCAAAAAACTTAAAATTCTATCACAGCCGTCATTTTTTTTCGAAGAAAAAATTGTTTTGTTTTGTTATTTTTTTGGGTTTTTTGTTTGTTTGTTTGTTGTTGTTTGTTTGTTTGTTTGCCTTAAATTGTTTACTTGATTACTACTACTAATTATTACTTCTATAATTTGTTAATTTGCCCGATTTGTTTTTAAATCTTTTTCAATGCACTTTTGTTTTTGTTTTTGAGGCTTGCTTTCAATGTTTTCAAAAATTCTAATTGCACTTTTTTTGTATATTTTTGTGGTTTTGTTTTTCGATTTTAGTTTTTTTTTTGTTTAAATTGCTATTTAAATTTGCTTTCATGTCTCAGTTTTTCTTGTCAGAACATTGTCTTCATCTTGTGTTTGTGCAGAGGCAAAAATAAAATAATAAATGAACTCTTTTTGGAAATTTATAAAATGAAACCTTGCTTTGTTTTAGAATTTTGTTGGGAGCTTTGGGAGGAGGTTCTCTTTGTTTTGCTTGACTAGGAGAACTTGCGGGGTTTTGTTTAAAAAAATATATATATATATTTCCTAAATGCAATATATGTTTTGATATTTTGCGTATGTGAGATATTTGAAGGTATCCAATGCATGTGTGTGGAAAACGAACAAAAATTCAGTAGGAACACAAAATTTGAGATATTGTTTTTGGTAAAGCAATGTGGAATGTGCTTGGCTTATGTAATTTACATAGTTTTTGTTCAGTTGGAAGTTTAATGTACAATTTTCCTTTGCATTTTCACTTTCCTCTTTAGATATAAAAACGGGGAGCTCTCTACGAAACCGAAATGGAAACCACAACTGAATTTTTGTTGATTTGTTACATTTATGGATTGGTTTTGTTTTTAGTTTTTAAATTTAACTTATAGATTGTTCTGTTTTTTTTTTTTTATTTGTTTCTGCTGTTTTGACTACAAATTCTTTGATTTTTGTTTTTGTTTTGTTGTTTCTGTTGTTTCATCTTCTTTGCCTATAACTATATTTTTTGTGTATTTTTTTGTTTTTACAAATCGCGACTGCCATTAATGAGTAATACTGGCCAAACCGCCCGAATCTTCTTCATCTTCATCTCGATTCCGTTTTATATATATATATATATATATATACATGTTTATATATATATATATGTATATAATAGCTTAGGTTAGTAGATGTGTCGTAGCCTAAATGTTGCCTTAAAAACTCTATGCAAGTGTCTTATATAAAATCTAAACGCTTTAATCTTTGTCTGCTGCTCGGGGATTCACTGGTACCTTCATGTCTCCAGCGAGGTGACCACCAGATTGTGGAAAACGCTGGCCGACTCGCTCATCATTGCCGCCTGTCCGCATGAATCGCTGCTAGCGCCGCTCGGCGGCGTCGGCGTTCCCAGCCTCAGAGCGTCCATGATAACCTCGAAATCCTTTTGGTTTTGATTCATATCGAAGTCGACCAGCTCCAGGTGATGGTGCAAATGATGATGATGGTTGAGATGATGATGGTCATTCAGCTTCATACGTTTGCCACCAGAAACTTCGACGCCAGCGCCTGCTGCTCCTCCGATTCCACCGATTCCACCAATTCCACCAATTCCTCCAACATTCACATTCACATTCATTCCCATACCCAAACCAACCACGTCCAATGGACACTCCTCAATGGCGGAGATCAGACGCTGCGGCGGTATATAAAACTGGGACAAGGCCTCACGCACCAGCCGATCACTTTCGTCCTCACTGCTGCTATTGCTCCTCAATCTCTTCCTGCTGGCGGACAGTGCCGCCTTCTCCAGCTGCTCGGCACCCTGGGTGATCTCTGGATCGATTAGCAACATGGGTGCATTGATGGCGCTCAGTTCCCTGTCGAGTATCTCCAGATCGTTGACCAAATTGCTGCTGGATAGGTGGCGTTTCCGGTTGTTCACTCGCTCCGATGCCGAGCCGGAAACGGATAGCGGTGCCGAATTGGCCGCCTCGGGTGCGGATGCCCCAGCTGGCGCCACCATCTGCTGACGTTCCGGCGGCTGATTCTCCATGGAGCAAATGCCACCGCGGCCCGATGACGACGAGGATCCGTTTGAGGTGGAGATGAAGGCATCGCCGTAGGATGAGGACTTGTTGTTATTGCTAGTGCTATTGCTGGCCGGCTTGGCGTCGTCCATGTTCGGCTGGAAGAGATTCTCACGCGCCAGTTCGGTGGCTGAGCCGCTGTCGCTGGTTCTGCAAAAAGAGAGAGAAAGTGGAAGGGAAAGTTAGTCAACGGTCGGTGGTAGAAATACAAACGATAAATGTAGGGAATACACAGCTTAGCTACTTTTAAGATGGAATTCATAATTGCCAATAGTTCCTCCTAACAACTTAAAGTATCTCTATCTTGATCTAACACATCATAAACCTAAATCCCTTCCTGGCTTTAACCCACCTATCGATGTCACAGAGCTGTGTGCCAAATCAGTTAATGGTGTAATCTGGCCATAAACATTTCAACGCCCATCGATAATATAGCCAGGGCCAATACCATACCAAACCCAACACCCAACACCCACCCAGGATGTTTGTTTCCAAGGGCTTTTCCAAGGGGTTTTCCAGCGATGGGTGGTGGATTTACGGGAGGATTTGAGCGGGTAAGCGGGTGTCTTCGGGGGGTGCGCTTTTAATTAACTGGGCCAACAACTGCGGCTGGCACCGGGGCCTTTTTGCCTTTCTTGGTGACCAGCAGCGAAGTGAATTTCAGTTAATTTCTCTTTCAATAAAAGCACCCCTCACATTTCCCTCACTTTTCCTTCAATATGGCAACCATTTGAAGTAAAAAAAAAAAGGCAGAAAGAAGATGTGACTGCGCTTCGGTCGAAACCAAAAAACGAAACACGAAATAATAATGTTGAAACAAGTCAGGGGAAAATGCCAATGTACAGAGAGGTAGGAAAACAACTTAATGGGTTTCCCATTTCAGTTTTAGTTTCATTCGATTGAAGATTCCTATTCCTTACAAGCTTAAAATGCAGTTCTAAACATAATATATACCGCGTGAAATTGTAAATGTATTACCTAGTATTAGGTATTAAATCCAAGCCCCCGATTAGCCACCTAATTTGTGGAAATTCATAGCCGTGTACAGGTGGAAAATACAGAGGGGAGCCAGCAAGTACATATCGATATATATATATATATAGGAAAGGAGATGGGTGGGTGGTGGGTGGCTTGGCAGGGCAGGCACAACGCATTAAAATGCGCAGCTGAGCATGTCAATGTTGACTATTAAAGCGACGCAACAAAAGCAATACAACTGACAACAAGAATGGCAAAAGCAGCAATACCAAGGGACTAAAAAAAAGAGAGAAAAAAAACTACAAGATGGTTGGGGAAAAAGCGAAAGTATGGAGGAATCTGTACAAAAACAAAAACAAAACAAAACGAAACGAAACGAAGCCCAAACGAAGAGGCAACAAAAAATCGCTCAACTTATAGAAACCAAAAAACCAGAAAGCGTACAACAAAGGGGGCCAAAAGAGGGGCCAAAAAGAGTAGGCAGGGGGCAAAAAGTGTGTTAGTTTCGTTGTTTCTGTTGTTGCTGTTGCTGTTGCTTTTAATGCACGCGCAACCGTTAACTTGAAATGATGGACGGCCAAAACAAAATGGGAGCAGCAAGAGCAGCAAAGGCAGCCAAGAGAGCAGCAGTTGCTGGCCAAATGAGGTGCCAAAAGGCAGCGCCAGAGAAGATGGCTAGCAGAGGGGGCACAAACTGATTGCACAAGTGGCCCACAAAGCTACGCTACGGCCAAACCGAGTTAGACAGAGATATAGGGAGTGAGAGAGAGACAGAGAGAGGGCCAGACCAGCCCAGGGCAGGCCAAGAAGTGGGGCTAATGGCTAATAAACTCGGTAGGTACTGCCCAGGCCCAGCAGACCCTCTAACTGGATTGATCAGAAAATAAGGGCATCAAGTGCATATCAAGCCCACCTCGTATTTATGGTCCATTTCCCAGGCCAAATAGTTGAGAACCCTATAAACCTTAAGGCCCTCAATTTGTCATAGTTACCAATACACTCGACTTCCCGCTTGTTGCCAAGTGGAATTTGCTTTGTTTTTCACCACGTCAGTTCCACTTTTATGGCAAACTTCAAGTTTATGACTTACGAAAATACTATTCTACATTTTCCATTTCAATAACGGATAACTGACGAGAAGATACAATCTTAAAGATACACTTCACCATCCGTTAATGACACACTTTTCAAAGGCCTGTGAAATACAGAATGAATCAAATCCGAAATTCCCAAAGGAAGATGAGTTCTTATATAGCCTAAAAATAACCATCTTATATCTTACGTCCTGCCTTAGTCACCGGAGGCAGCTTAAAGTTATTAATACAACTGATTAATCATGAGAAACTTTGGATTTATAACTGCTGATCAGCCTGTGACGTCATTCGTCATTTGATTCATTCATAACAATACGATTTTATATAGTCTTATATGCATATATATTCCTGTAGCATATGCTTGATAGCTGGTCAAAATAATAATAAAAAACAAAAAACTTGGTGGGGGTTTTTCACTTGTAGTTGCTTTCCCTCCCTGTCCTTCTTTGTCTCACTCTGTCTTATCTGCCTTTTCATTTTGCGCACGTTTTCGATGCTTTTTTTTCGGTCTTTTTCGTTTTTGTGTTAACCACCCCCCAAGAGTCGCTCCCCTGTCCGTGCCACATTAAATATGTGTGGCGACTTCCTCGCTGAATTCAAGCAGAAATTGGGGCACACTTATTACGCGTTAATCTCTTGCCTCTTTTTCCCCCGGAAAAGTAAACTTGGTCAACCTTTGGCTGTGTTTGCACACCCCCCCTCTTCTCCACTTTACTTTACTTGGGGCGGGGGGGTTTCCAGTTCAAGGCTCTTTAACCAATGTTTTTATTTGTGTTATTACACAGTCCGTAGACATAAGCAAGCCTTCGGTTTATATCATCGTTTAATTCGATTCACATTGGGAAATATTCACTTTTAAAGGGAGCTTTTCCTAGATGGAGCTAGAAATCTTAGTAATTGATCTGATTCTTACTACGATTTACACAAGGTTGACCTGTATTTCGTTTTTGATTAATCGAATTGAAATTCGTTCTCAAATGGAAGAGACGGGGGCAAGGAGCACAAGGATTTTCCCTGCTGCACTTGAGAAGGGGTAGCCAGAAAACGGGAAGAAGGGAAAGCGGAAAAGCGATGGAAAAGAGCGAAAGCGGCAAAGAAAGACGAAAACGTTGTCAAACGACAAGTGCACACAAAAGCAAAGGAAAAAAAAAACTGAATTGAAAAAAGGGGAGCGACGGCACAGGAGGGGGTGGAAAAGGGGCGCCAAGTCGCGAATGTAGGACGCTGTTGGGGGTCATTGAGCGCGCTTTTGACTTGGTCCGTGTATGCGGAAGAAGGGCGGCGAAAGAGGTGGCTACGATTGGGTAGAAAGAGTCGGAAGACTCCGAACAGTGTGCGACGAGGGGGGCGGCAAAAGTCAGAAGGGGCCTCTGAAGAGGGGGCGTGGCATAAGCCACATGGGGGCGATGGCAGTTTCGTGTCAAAGACAACTTCATTTCACAGTCTCCTTTTCAACAAAACGAAAAGGAAAATGGACAAAAAAAAAACCCAACCCGCTTGCAAAATTAAATAGGCATGTGGTTGAAAATTCCGGAAAAAATCCCAATAAATAACCATTCAACTTTAGAGTTCGTATTTGCAAATACTCAATAAAACGAGTGAACAATAACTACTATATAATACGAGTACATAAGATATAGCTTTCAAAGACAAAAGAAAAGTCGGAACAGCTCAGTTAACTTGGGTTCGGTTCGTTACGCTTCGTTTACGTTTGTAAATTCAATTACAAATACAACGAAGAAAAAGTAACTGAAACCTTGGCACCTGAATTGAATATATCCCCAGCAACACCTCAACTTTATCACCATCCATCCGCACACGTCGTGTATCTCTCTATCTGCTTATCAGCTCGAGCATTTCTCTGATAACTCGATTGCCGCAAAATAAGCGCGAATCGGGTATACGCGAAAAGGGGGTAACGACGTAAGCGAAAGACGCGAAAGGGAGTGAGAAATGCGCGCGCGTGTCGCAAGGTTGGTGGGCGGGAACTGAAAAACAATTAAAAATAATATAAGCAGGTAAACAATAACAGAAACTAGTTGCTATTCACCCAATCTTTATCCCACCGCCACTCTTCTCGTTCGCCGTCTTGACTTGTTCTAAATAGTTGGCAAAAACAAAGAGCAATTGGCATTTAGAGGAATCCTAACCGAACTACTAATAACTAATGGATTTTAAAGAAACCAACTAAAACGGGGTGACTAGTAGTTGGTGGTGCAATTTGCGTTACCGAATAGATCATGAGATGGAAGAAAAAAAAGAAACGGCAGCTCACGAATCCAAAATCCGAATCGGAATCACAATAAAAAAAAAACTAGAGAGAGACAAGAAAGCAGCCCCCCAAAGACAGAAAGAAGCAAAAAAAAAAAAAAAATAACAGAAAACTATAAAAACTTCGTCGCAGTCGCAGTCGCGAAATTATTACGACGACGCCACAAAATGGGGCGGCCTGAGTGGGTTACACAAAATGCTGTGCACTGCCATCGCACTACCACAGTCACATACTACTACACTAGGCGATGATGTCTGCCGCTCTGCGGGTGTATGGGTGAGTGGAAGAGTGGAAGAGGAAGCAGCATTGGACACGAAGAGCACGGTGCAGGGAGGGGAATCCCCGGGCTGAAAGGGGGCTTCTGAAAGACGGATGGGAGATTGGCGATTGGAGAGGGAGATGCGGTAAGCGATTGGATAAGAGCGTCTTTCAGTTGGGTATATCGGTCGATTTTTCGGCTAGTATTATAATAAATGTTTTGGGATTGTAACTAGTAAGACATTAACTAGTTATAATAATTCATATTCTTGTAATATTTTTATTGATATTTAACTTTTAGAGATGATTAGAAGTCTATATTTTAGTTATTTGGTTTTAATTCGTTGACTTTTTGTTGTTTCACTTTTATTAAAATTTTTCTTTCTCTAGCTGCTATGTTTGTCTGGGTTTTTTCAATATTTTTCTTCATTTTGTGCTGCCATATTTTCCTGTTGCTGTGCTGTGGCTGCTTTTTCAACTGTTGTTGGTGCTGTTGCTGCCGCCTGTCGTTAACGCTCTTGTAGTTTCTCTGGTTATTGTTGTAGCCTTTATTGTAGTTGGTGCTGCTGTTGTAGTGAGCGGCAGAGACGACGTCGACTGTTGCTTGGCGTAATGTCGAGAGTGTTTAAAATGCATAAAAAGAAGGCAGGCGCAAGCAGCAGCAGCAGCAGCAGCGGCGGCAATTTGTATGGATTTCATTTCAGCGAGCGGATGCATAAGCAATGAGCAGCGTGGATATTGTGTAGATAAACTTCCGAAACTACCACCAAACTACAACAATCTCGAATTCAACTTATTCAGATTCAGATTCAGTTTGCCACAAGCCAGGCAAATATCGTGATTTGAAATACCGTTTCGATTGTGACAGGTTCAGTTTATGATTATGATTGCATTTTTATCGCCATGCAAATCAATCGATCAAAGACGATAAGCACACGCCAAAGGATGTCCGAATATCAGCGATAACTTATCGTTCATCGCCATCTCCGCCACATCCTTCTTACAAATGCCCACGCTCCACGTTCCACTTCCATCTCCATTTCCACCATCATAATACCCAATCGCAAGCAGCCCCCTGTGCTTATTTCAATTTCACCGTTTAACATATTTTTGTCCGTAATTAAATTATCGATTGCAACTACAGGAAAGCTACAGCAGAGTAATAATAAGCACATGAGCATAAAATACACCGTACACACTTTATTCCACATGTGCGTACGTATGTGTGTGTGTGTGTTAGTGTAAGCTTTGTGTGCAAAGGGGCGAAGAGAAAACATGTCAAACAAAGCGCAAAGCGCAAAGCAAAGACAAAAACAAAAAGCAAAAGGCAAAAAGTAAAAAGCAAAAGCAAAAAACGGAAACGCGAGGCATCAGCAATGCTGGCCAAAAGGAAAATCGGCGATGAATTAACTTTGCAAAGCGTGTAACGGTATGTTGAATTGTTTGTTTGTTTGTTTGTTTTCTCCTTTGGCTTTGGGCTTTGGCTCTCTGATGAAAGAAAGCAAACGAGCGGGCAAAAAGAAGCAGAAATAAAGAAAGCAAGCTTGCTGATGATAGAGATAAATAGATTATATATGGCCGAGAGAGCAGGTGGGCTTAAATACCAAAAATAAAATAAAAAACAGGAGGCGTGGTGCCAGTTAACGGTTAAGGAAGTGCTCATATAGAGAGAAGAAGAAGCCAAATATAAAACAATTTGTTTTTATGGAAACTATAGCCAAGCGTAGTTTTAGCTAATTTGAAAATTTAAAAGCCAATCACCGTTTTTTCAATTATTTCTTTGAACTGAAAACCCAATTTTTTTTGTTAATTTATGGTAAAAAAAAATCATACAAATGTCTCCGACTGCTCAACATATGTTTCTTTAAATTAAAAACCAAAAAATGCAGATATAATTAAAATATAATACAAAAAAATAGGCTAAAAAGAGGCAAGACGCAGCGAACGTGTGGAAGAGGCAAGACCAAAATAATGACACACAGACACATGCATATATATGCAAGCATGTATGTATGTATGGGTGTACAAACATTTATGTGCTGGCAAAGTCTGAAGGTTTAGTGCACTGTATGCTGCTGTTGTTGTTGTTGTTGGCATGTGCCCACAAAAAACGAAAACAACAACAATTGCTTTGGCTATCATCGCCTCCTGCTTGTTGTTGCGGCTGCTATTTTTTTTGCTTTTTGTTTTTTGTTGCAAGTGGAACGTGATTATTTCAACGAGCGCACACCAACGGCAGATACAAAAATTAAAAAAATATAAAAAAAAATGTCAGAGACAGAGCAGCATTTGTCTGTCTGTCCGTCTGTCTGTTTGCATATATGTATGTATGTATGTATGTATGGATGTATGTATGTATGTAAATTCCTATTTTCTGACTTTGATTTCTTTCTGCGTTTCTTTTATTTGTTGTTGCTGTTTTTTTTTTGCCTGTTGTTGTTGCTGCTGTTGTTTTTCTTGTTTTCGGCCGCTGCGTGTGTGCATTTGTGTTCCTGTTTTTTTATTTTTATTATTTCTTTTTTTTTTCGTTGATTGATTAAGTGGAATGTTTGCTGTTATCTTTGGGGTTTCAATTGGTTATTGGTGGAATATTTAACATATCAATTGGACATTGTTTTCAGTGCTTTGAAAAGTTTTTTAAGATATATCTGCAAGCCTATCTATGATCAGCTTAACTTTAGATTATCTACACATAGAATTACATGCCTAATTACCCAATTATAAATTGCTAAATGCTCATTTCAAATTTTTGAACTATCTGGGCCCTTTTCCTAATTGCTGGCCAAAAAAAAAAAATACGGTTGGAAAAATCCCAACAACTTTTTCCATTGTTTCCGTTGAACCCACTGTTTTTAGTTTCGTTTTCGTGTCGCGTTTTTATGTCTCTGAGTATCTGCTTTTAGCTATGCTTCGCTTTTGCTTTGGTTCGCTGCTCGTTTTGCGCTGCTTTTTGCCTTTGCTTTGGGTTTTCTTTGGTTTTTGGCCTGAGCTTGGCCTGAATGTTGTTGGCTATGAAATATGCCGCTTTCCTTGTGTTTGTATCCGTATCTGTCTGTCGGCATGTACGTACGTACGTATGTCTATCCCCCATTGTATCTTCACAAGTATATTCGTATCTGTCGGATTGTTGCTGCAACATTGCAGTATCATCGGCATTGAGCCAGTGGAAAGAAGGGGGCAGAATGGGCTGAAGGGGCAGGGAAGGGCAGGGCAGACCAGACCAGAGCCGGATAGACGGATAGATAGTCCTTATGGAAGCCATAGCAAATGCTGTTTAGTATTTGTTGTATTCGCTTGTATTTGGGACTGGCCTGGCCTGGCCTGAATAATTGCATCATCGTTGGCAGCAGCAGCAACACTACCAAGCTGACACTTTGCACCAAAAATTAAATATCAATAGTTAAGTATTCAAAGTCCTAATTCTACATGACTTGCCTTTGCATCATAAAATATCAGTTAATCGGTTAAGTTTGTTGCCAATTTACGGGTTCAAAAACCCTTTTGCAGTTACTATCTGTCAATAGTCGTTGGGTTTTGGCTATATATGTATATACTTTAGCGCGACACCTTGCATTATCGCGTTTGCTTACTGTTGAGCTTTCAGTTTTAACTACCGCAAATGCCACGCAACTGGGAAAAGAGCAAAGTCGCCCACTCTCAACTCTTAACCTTTAAAACCCAGGCAACCGCACATCTATATATATGTACATCTATATATGTATATATATAGCAATATATATATATATATATACGTACGGGTACAATACGCACCACGCACTTTAAAAGGGCAAAAACAAATCAAGCATCCGCCGCGTGGGCGTCGCCCCCAAGTTCACAATTCACATGACATACACACATCATTATCATCATCATCGCCATCATGACCACCACCAGCTCATCACAACGATGATGATGATGATGAGTGTAACCTGCACTGGAGGTTGAAATAATATTGCGAGATACACTCCACCCACTCGTATAATGAGTTAATTTATTTGGCAAAATTTACATACTGTATCAGGTATCAAAGGGTTTTCGGTCAGATGTGTCGGGTTAAGACGGCTTTTAGCTTTGCTTTCCCACTGTATTGTCGATTTGGGCATTTGGCCATCATTTGGGTGGCAGGGGGGTGGGAATTCAAAAAAGCAAAGTGCGAAGCAAATGCCACAGAATTGTGTCTCTTAATTGGCTTGACTGGCAGACATAATTGCTGAATTGCAAATCTATTTTACTTGGACTTAACTACTCAACACAATCACAATGCTCAGTGTGCAGTTTTCGTTCTTTTACAAATATTTCCAGCAAATATGTAAACAAAATTGGTTTAAATGGTTTATGCGCTCATCTTTATCATCACTCTAACAACTTTTCCAGCTTCTAATCGTTATTTATGCCCAACCAATATATATTCAAAAGGCTCGTTAAACCGAGGATTCAGTTAGGGCGTTTGCCTAACTAACTACTTGAGAAGATTTATTTAGTTTTGAAATGCCGGACACAGTGACTTACTAAGGGGTTTTTCGTGGCTTTTACAGACATATTGGTCATAGCTTATTGAATAACTGCATTTAAAAATAGAACCAGGTAGCTGGCAGTTAAGTAAGGCAACATCTACTGACTATAATAAAGGGTAATGTCTCTTTCCAGTTAGTTAACCTTTTCAAGATATATCAAAAGATGTGAATATCTTAGGTAATAATCATAGATTTCCTCTTAATCTACCTAATAACCTACGCTAATTTATCTTCTAAAAACAATTTTCCTGTAACACCATTAGTTCCCAGTTAGTTAGGTAAAAATTTATATAAAGACCAATTAGTTAGACTAATCTCTGTGGCTTTTTAATTAAGGTCACTTGCTTATAGCTTTCCCCTACAAATACTATAGGTAGTACTTAATTAGACCAATAATTTCTGTTTCTTGACATATCATCTATATAATAATAATATAAAATAATAATGAAAAACTCACCTGGGCAGATTCTGTAGGTAACGCATCTGCTTCTCGCGACGCAGCTCGTCGGTCAGTCGGCAGTAGGTGTTATTGATGCAGACGCTGCGGCGAAGATTCGCCTCGGAGTCCTTGATCCTCTCCAGCTTGTGGGCGCACAGCTGGAGGATTCGCTTGCGCTCCTCCCGCTGCCGCAGCTTTGGCGAGATCATGGGCACCCGCGACCGATGATGATGATAGCCAATGGGCGGGGAGCAGCGCGGTGGTCCAAACATGTCTGAATCTTCGTCACTGCTGCTGCCGTTGTTATTGTTGTTATGGTTGTTGTTGTTGTTACTGATGCTGATGCCGTTGATGCTGTTGTTGTTGTTGGTATTGCCGCTGCCGGCGTCGTTTGCAGCTGCGTGTGTGTTTGTGGGCAAGGTCATTGTGCGTTTTTCAAAGAGCAAGCGAGCGAGCAAGCGTGTGTATCGAGTTTGTTGTCTTGTTTTTGTTTATTGTGTTTGTTGGCTTGTCTTTGGATATTTCTTCCTTGGGAGAAATCAACTTGGCCGTCTTCTGCTTTGATTTTCAATTTGATTTTGATTAAGTTGAGTTTCAATAAGTCATTTGAATTAAGGAAATCACACACAGCCAGACACACACACCGCTCTCTTTCCAGAGCTCTTTTTTGCTCTCTCGCACTTGCTGCTGTTGCTGCTTCTTCTTCTTCCACCGTCTGCCTTTGCTTTTGTATTTCTTTACTTTGCTTTTTTGCCTGAGATTTCACTTGGCTGTTTACCGTTAGTCGCGCTGTCCTTGCTTTGCCAAAATTCAAAATAATCCAGGACTTTTGAATTTTTTGAGTTTTTTATTAAGATTTTTGCACTTGTTCTTTTCGCCTTCACACGCAACACAGAAAAAAATTCAACAAAAATTGCTAAGTTTATTTGTTTGTTTTTGGTTTTAGGCACACAATTGACTCGAAATTGCAGAGGGCGGGGGTGTCATCAAACTGTTTCTATTATTTTCGTAGTATAAAGTTGGGGCTGCGTATAGTGTCCACCGTTCACCGTTCACAGTTTACCGCTGATTTTTTACCCAACCGCACACGTCGGCGCGGCGCTCTTCACTGCCGATACGGTGGCGGCGGTAGCGGCCAACATCTGTGTGTTCTGCCTGGACTGGCAGCGACTGCGACGCAGGCAGCGAGAGTTTCTCTCAATGTCTCAGCAGTACTGTTGAGATGCACTGTATTCTTAACAGCACTGTTAAGACTCAGCGTTCTTCTAACAGCGACCATTGTGTCTTAACATTTACGATGGGCAGAGCGAGAGAGAGCATCGTTTACAGTGACAACCACTGTGTGGTTGTAACAGCAACGCGAGCAGCGGCGCAGGCAGCGGTAGCATGAAGAGAGTGAGAGCATACGTCAGCAGTGCCCACAGATGTTAGCCGTTGAAACGGAAGTGACGGCTTGCCTCCTAAGAGAGCAACTAAAAGAGCGAAACTGGCCTACGTGCGTATTGTTTATATACACACAGCTGTGGCAGATATAATAGCATGCTCTCCAGAGCGTTTAACTTTGATTTAAGCTAGCATCGCCACACGTTTTAGATATCTTTTAACTTGCTGGAATAATGTTCTGATGTTGTTTTTAATTTCCTATTTTATTGAAGGCAGTTCAGTTACTCATTTTCGATGTGTCATTATTTTTAGCTGTTATTTTTCGCACCGCTGCTGTGGGAATATGTATATGTGTCGCAAAGATTTCTACTCATTTGTAACGGAAGCAAAACGCTGGTCAGTGGGTGGTGTGTTTGTGTGGGTGATTGGGTGGTGAGCATAATTCGCACAGTTGTTGCTGCCACTTTATTATGTAAAAAAAAGTGACTTTGGCTGGATTTGAAAATGCAAAATACTTCCTAGGGCAATCATCCTCACTTGAGCTAGTTACTAATTAAAGATCCACGCGAATGAACTGGAATAATTCGAATCCATTGGAATGCCATATCAAGCCTAAGGTTAAGCGGTGACCTCTTCAGTTTAGTAGTTTAACTAGCTTAAATGTGTACTTAGACTAGAATATACTTGGTAAAAGGTATTCTACTTATTTTCATTTCAGATGATCAAATATGTTTATATGTATGTAGTTGCATGTGTATGTACATATGCATGTACGTATGTATTTATGTATGGGTTTACTGTTATTCCTTTAAGGCTTCATTTTTGAATGAATAAATCAAGACTGAAAACAACCATCCCTCTCCCTTCTCATCAATTTCAAAGAGTTCAACTTAATTTACAGTTTTAGAATGATCCACAACCATAACGGTCACAAATAATCAAAACAACAACAATTGTGAGGTCAGTTTCGGTACTTATCAGTGTGTGTGATTATGTGTGTACTTCTGTTTGTTTGTGTGCGACGAGTACAAAGAGACAATGCAAATTTGCACTTAAACAAAGAGAGTGCGAGTGCGGGTGCGATAGAGAGGGAAGAGTTCATGAGCGTGCGTTGTGGGCTGAATCGGGAGGGCGGGGGATCTTTGTTTATCATTTTTGTGTACTATTATTAAAGCGCCTATGACGATGAAGATGACGTCTGCTGTGGTTTTCGTTGCTTACGATGACGACATACAATGTTTGCTAGTGTTTGTGCAAAATGTTTATAAAATACTAAAAATTGCCCAGTACTTGCTGTTTGTTTATTCATATTTAAGCTTCTGCGAAACAAAAGCCCCGCCAATGATGATTCACATTCGCCAGAGGCTGTGGGGAAAAACATCAAGAACTTTATCAGCTAATTGTGTCACAAGTGGTGGACAAATAAACTCAAAACATTTCCCCCTGCGCTATTCTCGGGAAAGTGCTATCAATTTTAGCGCTCTCTTTCTAAGAATTATCAAAACGGGAGATAATTAGTTAAGTATCTTAAAACTTCAAATCAAATGTATGTATGTATGTACATATGTATGTATATTGTGAATGGTAGAAAATATCTCTGTGTCTTATATCACTATAATCCAGAGGAAATATCAAAATCGAATAGTTTTCTGTCTTTTCATCTCTTTTATGATAAGCCTTTTCAATCCACTTTCCCCGCTCATTCGGTGCATTTGCAATTCCATTTCAACTGCCACACGTTTGGCGCTCTTTTGCATTTTCTTCGAGTCGCCCAGATAAATTCGGAATTACGTAATTAAGCGGCAGCAATGACAGCAACAACGGCAAGACAAGAACAACAAGCTAACAATTAAGTATTTATTGCTTTCAATTTGCTGCCCGATAACAGAAGAACCAAAAAACACAGAGAGAGACTGGAAAAAATAAGCAGAACAAAGTAAATAAAAACCGAAGCGCGCACACACACTCTCAAAGCGCTACCTGCGGCTAGCAGCGCAGTCGACGTCGAAATCATTTTGTTTGAATTTCAAGATGTTTTTAGTGTATTGCCTTTAAATCTTTTTTGGTCTGGCTTTTTTTTTTAATTCGCAGGTAAACGTAAGTCACACGCTAAGAAAACGAAATCGAAACTTTGCCAAATGCGAATTCCAATTTCATTTGAAAGACCATCAGCAGCTCCATTAATTATTTATTTATAACATATTTAAATTCCCCAATCTCTTCCTCTTCCATTGTCCCATTATCCTCCTCGTCCTCTGCATCCTCTGCAACCATCTTCTAGTTGATATTTGCGCTCTTTCGTGCTCTCTCTTTGGCGTTGCCGCTCTCATTGCAGTGGCCACTTCAAAACGGAGTGCACAGTGGGTAAAAAAGGCTTTTTGCAGGACTTTCAGGACTTTTCATATATTTTCAAAATATGTATATACAAATTAATTTCAATATGTTTTATAATATGTGATCCAGATCTGGCTTATAAATAAACCCAACAAACACCAAAACTATTTTCTACAATGGATTACCTCCAAACCCTTTGAAGAGTAACACATCAGCGGATTATGTTGGATGGCGGGGATTGTTGAGGATTATCTATCGTCTTAAAGACTAGCTCTCATAAATATTACAGTACTTTACCTGGCAAGAATGTTGAACCACAGGTAAATAGAGCTGACAAACCACCCTAGGTCAATGTCAACTCTATTTTACAGCCCACAGACTGTGGCTGGAAATTTCGTTTTATTGCATAATATATGATATTTTATTTGAAATTTTAAATGTATTACAAATAAACTAAATAAATAAAATTTGGATATTTTCCTTTATTTTTTAATACTTATATTGCTTTGAATTTTTGTAGAGTTGGCCCACTGTACCGCGTGTGAATGAACGTATAAAAAGTGAGAGCGTCGCCTGCTCGACTCATAAACGAAAATCAATGACTCCCAATGCGGCCCCCCTCTCCCAACCCCTCGGAGACCCACGTTTTTTGGAGTGATAAATGCCGCCTCAGCGTCGTCAGCAGATTTCAGCCTGCGCATGTTTGTCGGCCTGCAAACACTCACAAACACAACCAAACATATCCCTTTATGTTTGTTGATTTGGCTGCATTTAAGAAATGACTGTGTTCGGGGCATTGTTAGACTTTTAGTCGTTTCAACTCTATTTCAGTGGATTTCATCTGTCTGCTAGAAAGAAAGAAGAAGCCATAAGCACACGCATACATACACACAGACAGTTGCCATTTTTTACCATGGTGGTTGTTGTTTTGCCACTGGAACGCATGTTTGTGTGGGTATTTATAATTTGGTCAAGAAAGCAAAAAGAAAAAAGGGTAATGAAAGGAGCTCATAAGCACGGAGAAAAAAGTGCATATTTTTCTCCTTAATTTTATTATATGTATTTGTGAACTCAACTTAAAAAGATAACATATATAGTTTATATGGACTTTACCTATTTTAGGCATTGCATTTCTCTCCGCTTCTTTTGCCTAGTCTCCTACATTTTTTGTTTTGGCTGCGAGAGAGCGACTCTTTTTGGTCTCTTTGTGTTTTTATGCTTTCAGCATTGATACGTGCCACTTTTAACATACAGACAAAGCAGTAGAGGGGGTGCAAGGAAGTACAAGAAGACAGTGGAGGGGGGTGGAGTCAACGTGTGGGGACAGCTGGGTGAGTTTGTAATTAATTGCGGCCTTGTCTCTCCCTCGCTCCCTCTTACTGCCACGCTCTTTCGCGCTGAGAAAGCAGCCGCCAACAGTTTGTTTTCTTTTCTCCCCACTCTCTTCGGGATTTCCGTCTCATCAGGGGATGGGAGGGGAGGTACTGGGGCTGGTCGAGAGGGTGGGCTATCGGCCTACTCTTTGTCTAGTCGCCAATCCTCTCGCACTCCATTCCATTCATGCCTCACAAATTGTACAGATGGCACTCGTTGAGTGGCAACTGTAAGATGTACTCATTTTTGGTTACTACTTGGTCGCACATAATGTTTCGCACTTTTAAAGTGACCACTGTACTTGCCAGTAGCCCGAAAACGAACATGGCAGAGGCGTCAACGTCGGCAGAGCAGAGAAAGCGCGCTAGTTACAGTTACAGTTACGTTACAGAGGGCCAAAGACAATGCTAAGCTTGGTTAACGGTAATTACGGTGTGTGGGGGATATGACGGAAAGGGGGACTAAGACAAGGGCGTAGCCAGGCAGGTATTTATCTTCAGGGGTATATTAAACTACTGATAAGTGGCCAGAAAATATCAATCATATAATAGTACTTTACTGAAGAATACAAAACCACTTTCTTATACATATGTACACCCTTAAGTTTATAATAGAACAACTTCTGTTATTATAAATTGGATGAGCATAGGGATAGTACCACTAGTTAAAACTACGACTACGCCCTTGACGCCGCACGCTAATTGAGTGGGATGATCCCCATTCAAAGAGTACTACTCCGGCTAATTCCAATACCACTTTCGATATCCAATTGCTCGTCTTTCAATCGGTGGTGAACGGAGGAAGCAGAGAGTAAGGGTAGTTACTAAAATATATATATATGTATATGTATATGTATATGTATATATACCTATATATGTAGATATGAACATACGTAGAGATATGGAAATACCCCCGACGGGCCATTGGGATATTGAACCCTAAATGTGAAGACCTCGTGTTTTCTTTGACTCATCAACTGCATTTGCGATAATGCGCTTCGATTAGTATG